TTTTTTTTTTTTTTTTTTTTTTTTTTTTTTTTTTTTTTTTTTTTTTTTTTTTTTGTAATACAGTTTAAAAAAAAACTTGTTTCGCTAAACTAATTCACTATATGCGTATTAAAAAAAAAAAAAAGCTTTGTATGACACACTCGATTCGCTAAAAACGCATTTATTGTCGAAAAAAATTTTGTTTGGAAAAAAAGCATGCAGAAACAAATTCGATTATCAGAAACAATTTTTTTTCTTCAACTGTTTTGAAAATCTACAAAACCGTTGTGCTCAAATGCCGATAAAAGCCCGCAAAATCGGCATCATCGGTACACCGCATCTTGATACTCCGTACGATAATTACTGCACACAAAAGCACGTGCACTGCGAACGACAAAAGCACGGGATCCGTGTAACTTCTTTTTTTTTTTTTTTTCAAACTCTCGTTGAAAAGTGCACTCGTTCGCGAGCATAAGCCGATACCAGGTACATTTCTCACGATACTCGCGATCAGATCGGCGTACAGGAGTCGCGGGAGCCGATTGCGCAATTCGATCGGCTTTGTGCAAGCGAGCGCTGTACGTGTGTATTTTTTCGCGTTCGGCAAATGTCACTTATGCTGATGAATAATTCCCTTTGTGTTGTGCTACGGTGCAGATTCTCGCAAAGATATATTCAAACTCACCATCAGCGCGCAACACGTGTATACGGCTTCGTACGTGTGTAAAAACCAAGAATTCAATGTGGTGGTTGCGAAATTTTACGGGCATGCAAAATTAAACGTGAAAAAAATAGGGTCACCTGCGCAAAAAAAAAATTAAATAACTTGAAAGCCGCGAGCCGAACTTGACCGGGTAAATAAATAATGTAAACGTTGATGGTTTATCGATCGATTCGCAACGGTACGAAAATACATTCGCAGAAGCAAAAGGAAGAACGAGTCGGGGGAAAAAAGGAGCAGATGCAGTCGGCAGTGGATCGTCAGCAGCTTGCAAGGGCCGATTTCTCATTTTGTTTTTTTTTTGTAATTTTATACTCGCAAGAGATATGCAGTAGCATTTTTTTTCTTTTTTTTTTTCAAGCAAAAATAAAAGACGTTGAAACAGATGCAGCAGCACATTTACCGCAGTTAACAGTCGTTCAATAACAATTAAATTGCATTTAAAACAATTAAACAGAATTACAAAGTATAGCGTAGAGTTCATAAACAGTAGTCCATCGTAGCGAAATAGTGTTTAAACGGAAAACGAAAAAAAAAAACGAAAATACGAAAAAAAAAAATAAGAGATGATTATGAATAATAAAACCGGAAAGGGAAGCAGAAAACAAATAACCACCACCCAATACGACACACAATCATAAAAAAGCAAAAAACAAAAAAAACAAAAAAAAACAAAAACGAAAAAAAAAAAAAATAAATCCAACCCTTCCCCCAACAAACCACAAGTAAAAATTGCAGCTCAGTATCTTATACTATTATATTACCGTAAGAAATAAACTACAAAGCATAAGCAGATCGTTCAATAGTGTCTCGCGCGCATCAACGCGCGCGTATAATATAAACCTCTTCATGGAGTATTGATGATTAAATAAATATGGCGTAATTACAGTGAAACAAAAAATAACTTTTGGAAAATATTCATGTCCACGTACGAAAAAGGAAAACAAAATAAAGAGAAATTTTACGGTCACACGATAAACAAAGGCAGGTTATCACCGGAAGCAGATTTTCGTTTTTCTTTTTTTCTCGTTTTTAATGTAAAAAAAAAAAAAAAAAAAAACGCATGTACACGTGCAACAGCGCGAGGGGAGCGATTATACAGTTACATATAGCGAAATATAAAAAAATGAAATAAAATAAAAAATACAGAAACAAACGGAAAATAAAACGAAAATACGAGAAATCTCGGCTGGGCGACGTCAAGAAAGTTTATTTGAAAATTAAGGAAAAAAAAAAAAAACAAATATTAAGTAAAATAAATAAGACCGAGGAATTTGTTGTTCGCATGTGTAATTATTATTCGTATATAGATCTTCGGTGTTCTTCGAAAAATAAAAGAGTAAAAAAGGGGGAGAGCGAGAGAGAGATATAATAATAATTATTATTAATATTATAATAAACGTATGGAAAACGAATTTTCGTATGTAACAATATTTGTTTTCTCGATGGTGACGACGCGAACATGATAAATGAGAAGAACAAAAAAATAAATTGTTTTCGCGAAATGCTTGTAATCTGCTATTATACATTCATAAAGTGGAAACTTGTTTATATTTTTCTTAAAAAATAAAAAGTAAAAGATGAAAGAAACGATGTAACGGTTTGACGATGATATGAGGAAAATGAATAAATAAATTTACGTACTCGTATACATATTATACAAGACGACTGTAAAAATTTGATAATTTTCTAAAACACGTAGAAGTTAGTGTGAAGAGAATGTAAAAAACGATGAGAGTGAAAGAAAATAAAAAAAAACACAACTTCAACATTACTCTTGCATTTATTTACCCTACGTCTCATCCATACAAAATAATTTCATATTTTCTATTTACATCTATTTTTAATTTCACTATTTCGTACAAATTTATTTATTAAAATTACTTGTATTTCATTGTAAAAAATATTGAAGAATTTTTATGTATTAAAAAAATTTGTTTACAAGTTCTAGGAAAAATGCTTTACCACGTAGGGTAACATATTTTAATATTCTCAAAAAGATTTATAAAAATACAGAGATGTAGATAGTTTTGTTAAAACAANTTCCTTATACTAGTTTTCTTATTTACTACATTTTTAATGTACAAATGCAGATTAAAAAAAAAAATTCATAAATTCTACTGTACAGCATGACCTTAGCAGTAAAGTTCTAGCTGAGACCATTTTGATAATATTAAACAACCTTTTTTAGTAGAATGTTGAGCACTTCAAAATGTTAACAGGCAATAAATAACCACGATTTCAAGTTTGAATTTTCTAAAGAATTACGTGCCTTCTTTGTTCTGTATCAGTGGTATTATGGCTATGCTGTTCTTTGCCTCTGGAACTCGCCACCATCTCCCCAGTTTGTGCTCCTGTCCGATACCAGCAATAAGATATTTCCCATCAGGTGTAAAAACTAACGAGTTAACGAAACCTGTAACCTTTACATCGAACAAAGGTTCCAAGCTCCTGAAAGATTCTCCACATCTCCAAAGCCTTATGACGCCATCCCTGGAACCTGAAAGAGATGCTAATGTTGTAAATATTCAGTTAAATATATAAATAAATAAAAAAAATTGAAAACCACCGATGATTAAAACGAAGGATTTTTTGTATCTTACTTTTATTAGCATCTGCATTAGAGAATAATTAAAGTACAAAAAAATCTGGTATCATTAAACGGTGATCTTAAACTACAAGAAAAAAAATAAAAATAAAAATAAATACCTGAAGCTACTAAATCTGTGTTGAGAAAAGTGGCAATACTGGATATCCACATTGGCAATTTGTTTTCCTCATCCCTGCCATGCGCCTCTCGAATAGTACACAGTGGTTTCTTTTTCATACAACCCCACAAACACAGTTGTCCATCGTCTCCACAGCTAAGAAAATTTTCCTCATTTATCAGCTTGACGGCATCGATCGAGCCAGTGTGTCCATTATAGGTAAGTTGAGACTCTTCGACTATTTTCCATATTTTTATTGTACATTCGTAACCACCACTGGTGATGGCTCTTTCACGAGCCAGAGCGTCGATCGACGTTATGCTGCTTTGATGGCCAAACAGAGATTCAACGTAAGCCATTTCGTCGAGATTCCATACTTTCACACACCGATCGAGCGATGCTGAATAAAGTGTATGCGTATTTTTTCGGAACACCAACCCAGAGACGATGTCTCTATGTCCTTGCAAGTCTTTGATGTGACTGAAGTCCGATGCTGAGAGTACTGTTATATTTTTTGTTCCTTCCGCTCCAACCACCTGTAAAAAATTTACATAAATTAAAAAAAAAAAAAAAAATAATCCGACCAATTTACCATCAATTATCTAATTTAAACTGACCAAAAATTTCCCATCTGTGCTGATTGCTATGCACCTAATGCATTTCAATCCATCTTGATTTTTCGTCTTCCCTTTCAGAGATTTAAGCTTTTGCCTATTGGATAGTGACCCTGTAGACAAGAGTGAAACATTGCAGCAACACAGAAAAACATTGTTAAAGTATACAACGATATAGAAAGAGGTTTTTCTCACATTTGACCAAAGAGCCATCTTTCGATCCAGAGAATAAAAATTGACCGTCGTTGGATAGACAAACGCAGGTAACCGAATTTTTGTGGTCTTTACATTTGAGAATCTGCGGTTCTCCATGTCCCATGTAAGTGTTGGCAACAACTTTTCTCAATCTCCCTTTTTCTTCCAGATACTCTTCTTTCAACCTTTTTTCAATAGCTCCTTCTTCAAACTCCTTTCTGTCCCTCTCTTAGAAGAAATACCACATACATTCGTCTGTTTGTAATTCCACAGTGTACGTATCATTATCAATACTTTGCTTACCTTGTTCTGCTATTTCTTCTAAATATTTATTCGCTAACCTAATTCGTTTTTCCTGTGCAGTTTCCTCTATTTCAGAATCACTCTGCTCGTAATCCTCAATCTTTTTGTTCCTGAAAAATAATATAGGGGCTATATTAATTGAAAGCACACAGGTTGAATTTGAAGTTAGGTCTGTCTATTTAAAAAAGTTTCCAAATGAGATCAGTCATCTCTACAGGCATGCCTGACTTTTGCGATGAATGTATGATTAAATTAATGCATGCCTGTGTTTTTCTTCTGCAAATTCTTCATCTGAACTGGCAATGCTCTCGTCATCCTCATCTTTCTTTGTGCTGGGTTTACCCTTTGGTTTTGAACCCTTGAACTTTGAAGCAATCCCATTGACCTGCAATAAAATTTTTTAGAAAATTGGTTTCCCAGCCAACGGGTAATCTATTGTCAAGTAAGTCTGTCATCTGTTGGTTGTTATAGTGAACGTATTGCATATAAAACAAAGCTTAATGATTTTTGGCTGTCAAATGAAGTGTCAAGTTGTGAAGAACAAAAAAAAAGGTGAAAGGAATCTAACGACACAAAGTTCGCGTTAACCTACGAATACACTCATAACACTGTACTTTTAACGTAGACAATGGAGTAGCAAGCATAGAATTACCTTTCTTTTTGCCCCCTTACTACTACCGGCACTTCGAATGAAAAACGACATTTTTTCGTAACACGAGTTTATCAATTAGCAATTACTTTTTATTCCTCAACAAATCACGCTATAACCAAGCACATGGTCCATTGAAAACAACAGAGTAGCAGAAAGCACTACTCAAAAAGAGAGAAATGTAAAATTGTGTAATACGCATGCGCAATTCTATCTCTTTAAAACTGAAAAAGGCGGCTTTTTTAATAATATAATTTTCTTATGCAATATTGAGTGCTTACTTTACTGCTTGAAAAGTAAGGATTTTTTAGTTATAATAATTTATAAACAATCATAAAAAATACATTTGTAATAAAAGTATATGTTTAATGGATTTTTTTGTACATTTTTTCATCAAACTATCATGCAAATATAAAGAAATAGTAAGAAAAACAAAAGAAATATGTTCCTGGAAGAAAACTGTGAGGAAACAAAAATTTTTTATGCATGATTAAAAAAAAATGTATGTTTCACTGTTAAAAAAAATTATAACGTAATCGTACAAAATTTTGTGTTGCGTGTGCAAAAATAGTTAAAAAATGTTATAATTGTCTATTTTGACGAGCAAACAATAATAATTTTCAAAAACGTACGTACATTATCTGCGTCAAGCTATTAGTTGTTTCGTGAATGCGATATAATTTACGAAATTCGCATTGTGGATAAAAAGTACGTGCGGTTTTGACTAGTCTAAAATTCGCTGGCTACAAATTCATTTTTCTTTTGCCATAAGTAGTGTTGCAAAAAAAATTTTAGATGTCGAGACTCTTGGTTATTTTTCTTTTTCTGGTTGTAATGGCTATTAAAATTTCAGCCCAGCGTGAAGGTAATTATTATTCAAATTTTTTCAGTAATTTCTATACCATTCTAGCCCAAACATTAATTATACTTTTATACTTCAGGTAAGATTTACGAGAGTAATTTTTTTATGCGTTTTCCAAGCAAAAGACACATTTTTCTATATACTTTTAGGTGATGGAGGTGTAATTCCAGGAGGAGGAAATTCTCTCGATATCACTACAATAGTTTACGGAGTTCGAATGTTCGTTGTTAAGTTGCTTCAGGTGTTGAACTTGTTATTAAAATTAAGGGGCATGACTTCTTAAATCGAACCAAATTTTGTTAACACCCACGTAGAGAACTAAAAGCTATGTAAAACTGTCATTTAAAAACTGTACCTCATCAAGGACTAATAAAAATTAATTAAAAGTAACTGAAAAATATTTTATTACACAAAAAAATTACAATCGTTACTACATGAAAATTATTTTTGTTCTATAAATATTCATAAAAATGTACTCATCCATGTTAATAATTTATCCAAATTTTTCAACTAGTTGATATGATTAAAAAATGTTCAGCAACTTCTACATCAAAAAACTATAAGGTTAAAGTACGGTATTTTTCACAAGTAAAAATATTTTAAGGTTTGTGAGAGTTTTAATAGGAGAAAACCGCCATGATACAACTTTTTAAGCTTTTTTTTTATTAACTTTTTTCTAAAATTTCAAAAAAATTCTTTTTAGTCAGACATGGGCACAATTATTTCATAGATATCTCAATACTTTAGAAGAACATAATTTTTCGTAAACATAAAAAAAAATTATTTTTGTTGCAAACAAATTTTTTTTGCCACTAGATTCATATTAAAAAAACTAAAAAAATGTTCTTATAGCAGATTAGTGCAATACATTTTAGATAAGAAAGTTCATCACGAAGTATTTTAATTCAAACGTTCAAATACTTTTTCCAAATATTTTGACTGTTTTTCTAAATTATTTTATCCAGAAAAACGCACAGAATCCCTAATTCTTTCTCAAAAGCATCTACAAGATACCTTCACGAATGTATAAAAATCTGCGAATGCGCGAAAGCTCGAAAATGATGTTCCGAAATGGATGATGGTGCATATTTTTCTGTGAACTTGTGAATCTAGCCTAGTTTCGTGCCCATCGGCTCAGAAAACTTCGCAAACTTGCGCAATCGTCAACTTTCTCGTTATTGCTGTTTTTCACTTCTAATAATTAACGTATTTACCAAAATGTCGCGTAGAAAAAAAGTTCTCATGGTGTGTTTTGGTAAGGATAAGTGTGCAATATGTTTGTTTTACCAACGCATGTATTTTAAGCTGTTCATTCATACATGTATTACTTTTGCATTGCCTGGTTCTCATTATCTGAGGTTAACATAACTTTCAAATTACTTTAAAATTCAAGGGAATAATCTTCCCCTTGATTAACTTACACTTCTTGTTTCAATCATGTTCATAGTAAATCGACAATTGATTTTTTTCCATTTGTAGAATTGTTGTTTATTTTTAAACTTTTGCTATAAGGATACTTATTTTTTTTACTATGGTAAGCTTGCTCTTGTACCATGTGCACTTGTCTATTGGTAACACTGAAATCACCGACAATTCAATTTCCTCGTATATTTTTATTTGTATGTAATTTAATTTAACTTATTCAATAAAAATATAGTCATAAAAAAAAAAAAAAAAAATCACTCGGACTCTTAGGCAACACATGTCGATCTCCGATAGCTGAAGCACTTTTTCGTAAATACATAGAAGATCACAACATCCAAGACGACTGGGAAGTCGATAGCGCTGCCCTATACGATTACCACGAGGGGAAAAACATCAATACAAAATCAAGGGAAGTCCTTGAAAAGCACGGTATCACGAGTTATCGACACTTAGCTCGCACAGTAAGTCTTTTTTTTCTTTTCCGTTGAAAAAAAAAAAAAAAAAAAAAAAAAAAAGCAGGTCAAAAAACTTTCTAAAATTAGAAAAAAAAAAAAATAAAAATAAAAATAAATACCTGAAGCTACTAAATCTGTGTTGAGAAAAGTGGCAATACTGGATATCCACATTGGCAATTTGTTTTCCTCATCCCTGCCATGCGCCTCTCGAATAGTACACAGTGGTTTCTTTTTCATACAACCCCACAAACACANAAACAATGGCACTAATTTAGTGTTTTTGTAATTTTCGATATTGTTGATAACGTTTTTTAACACAGTAGGCTACCATAAAACAGGGAGAAAATCACTCTTATAAAAGTAAAAAAAAAGCCATGCACACTATCAACAAAGTGCCTGTAAACAAAGGTTCCTTGTGTGCCTGTCGGTAACATTAACAACGGAAATCGTACAGCAGATTTTTAATGCAAGTTACAGTGCATCGAAATTCACAAACAGTTGTACCCACGTCTTACTCGATAAAAATTTTAAGAAACTCTACTTAGTTAGTATTTAAAATTGTTTAAAAAAAGAATAAAGCTTGACCTTTTTTAAATTCAAGTGAAAAGTAAGAAAAAAAAAATTATCTTTCCAGATAACCAAGGAAGACTTTGACAATTTCGATTGGATTTTAGGAATGGATTATTACAACATCCAGCATTTAGGTCAGATACAACCCCAAGGTAGTTCAGCAACAATCGAGCTTTTGGGCCAATACGATCTGGAAGGGGATAAAATTATTGAAGATCCTTACTTTGTACGTCTACGAGTACTAAAATTTTTTTCAAAATTTCATAAGCATTACTTTTTCAGAGTTCATAATTTTCAGGATACTGACAGTTCAAGATTTGAAAAGTGCTATCAGCAGTGTTTGAGATTTATTCCCTTATTTTTTAAAGCTCACCATTAATGTTACAAATTTTTTATTGTAACGTTACAACTTATTTTGATCTAATTTTATTTAAAAGTATGATTTTCTGTGCCAAATATATGTGCAAGAAATTTTCGTGACCTTGACATTGAAAACTTTACTGCACGTGACGTTTCTCGTGCAGATACAAAAGATCATTGGACATGGATAATTAAGGTTGGTGTATTAATATTAACTACAACTTTTAAATACAGCAATTAATTTATTCAACACTTGATTGACAATACATGAGGTTAAAATATTTTTTTTTTCCATAGGAAATATATATTAAATAGTAAATAAAATCAAATCAATGTGCAAAAAGTTTGAAAGGCAAAGCAGGATAAGAAAAAAAAACCTTTGCATCATCGTTTCATTAAAAAAAGAAAAGTTGAATTAAACTATATTACTTTTTCAAACCCAGAATAAAAAATGTGTTTGATTTCCTCTACAATTCGAGGTATTTTTTTTTTGAATACGTATGAATTAACATTTTTTTATATTATTTCTAATGTAAGTGACTCCAGCAAGTGTCTAAAGTTTAGTTATAATAATTTCTAAGTATGTCAGTAACAATTTCAAAATAATACTTTATTTTCCCCGCATTGTCCATGTATAATACGCAACGTTAAAGGCATCTTTACCAATTGCAATCAGTTTCCTCGTACTGTTTAGAGCAGCTCCGGCAACATTTGTGATGGGTTCAAGGATGTATTTCGATCCTATTTGGTAATACCCTGCATTTTCTTGAGCTGAGTTAAATAAGATGCTTTATTAACCAATATAATAAACTGAAATTTTTGTGTATTACATTTTTTATAAAACAAATATTATGCTGAAAAAAAATCCTACCATTATTTGCAGTGACAGTACCCGCAAAAAAAACGATAAAAAAGAATAAAATGTATTGTAATTTCATTGTCGTCAACAATTTGAGTACTTTGCTGAGCAAGTGTAAAAATGTAATGTTCACTAAAAGTAGTTCCACCAAAAATGTCTTTTGCAAACATATTTACACACAGTTTTTCTACAGGAAAATCGGTACAGCTTTTTGAATAAATATGTACTATCTAATCTTACCGCATAAATTTTGGTTTATCCACAGAGATAGTAGAAATTTATGTATCTTTTTCGGATTTCAGATTTGCATTCTTATATTTTAATAAAATTTTTCGTTAAGCATCATATTTTTTCCTACAGTAGTAGATATGCCCATCATTAGCGAAAATTTTAATTCTTTGTAATATTAATATATTTGTATACAGGAAATTTTCATTGTAACGTTAATTTAGACAACGAAATAAAAAATTGAGTANTTGCCCCAGTGGATGAGCACGTGCATTGTAACGTTAATTTAGACAACCTTAATTTTAAAAAATTATGTGATAATAAAATTGATAGTAAATGAAAATACAAAACCGTTTTGGTCCAAAAATAAAAATCGTAATAGTTCATTAATTTGTAGATTAATAACTTTAGGGTTATTCGGCATTGAAAAATTTTGCTCAAACTTAATCATGAAACATTGTATCCATATTTTCGTGCCATCAAACTTATCTACATCAGAAATCAGATTATGTAAGATATGACCTGAAACAAATTTTTTCGCCTTAATTGTTCCATTAATTTCCAAGAAAAGCCTATTGATAAATGTTAGTTTTCAAATGGAATCATTCTCATTTACTATTAAGGTATGTGCAGTTAATATTTAAATAAATTGATCCAACAGTTAATTACAGTAATGTATGAATACATATTAATCATACACGTTAAAATAGTATGCAATTATAGAGTTTGATTTATTAATACAAGCTATAGTCCTAATAGCATAGAATGAGAGATTGCCTACCTCATCGCCTATACTCACGAGAATCGATTCTGTGGATCTATCAGTTGTAAGTTACATTTTGTAAGTTAAAATAGTGGCTTCATGGTTGCATCTAAAATTTTTAATAGCAAAAAAACTTTTTGGTGATATTTAACGACTTTAAATAAAGTTATTTTGCAACTTTCAAAAACAAAAATCCATAAAAATCTAGTACAATGATTATAAAGCTTTTTACACTATTTTGCTACATTACTTTTTCAAATATGTGGAGCATTATATGCGAGAACAATATTGGGGTGGAACTGAAAAAATAAATGAAGAATAAAATGCAAGTGAGACGCATCACAACTTTTTTTGCAAAAAGCCAAGAACTATGCCATACGTCAATAGAACAAACTTTTTTTGCATTTTTGGAAAGCCTACAATATAATGCTCATTTTGATAGGCAGATCAGAAGCCGCAATTCCTACGGGATACGTTAAAAGAATTATGTTTTTGTTCCTTGTGTGCCTGTCGGTAACATTAACAACGGAAATCGTACAGCAGATTTTTAATGCAAGTTACAGTGCATCGAAATTCGATAAGTTCGATACCATCGATGATATTTTTAAATAAAAAATGACGTTTAACGTGAATTACTGGTCTAGACACAAACTATTGATACTCAACAGTGTCCATTCGAAATTGTATGCACCTCTTTCACAAAAAGTTAAAGTCGTCGTTCAAAATAACACCTCCAACGAGCAAGTTCACATGATGATGTACACTTCGAAAACCAATCTGATAATCCATCAATTTTATCATGGAAAATTAATGGAATACGTTTATAAGAACAACAATACTGACTCAAAAATAGATGTTGTCTCCGAATCCGTTGATCCCTGAAGAACGTTGTATACGTTGGTACATCGGCTGCAATCGCCTTTTACTCTCAAATTCAATACACTGCAACGTAGAATTTTTTAATCGGGCATTGGCTACTTTTGTGAGAGTCACTCTTTTATCAGTAGTTATCGTGAAGTATTCAAAGCAAAATTAAAACATGAAGAATATACGCTTCTCATGATGATTACTGGGAATTCCAGCGATACCGAGCGAATGGTTTTATTAATCTTGGCCGGAAAGGGTGTTATCAAAAATAAATTATCTGTAAATGAAAGTAGTTCGAATGCACTTTGAATGCGATTAATGTATCTGTTTGCAATGGGATCGTCAGTGGCATTTTTTACATTTTTTTTTGAAGTAGCGTATTGCAAAAGAGATACTTAATGATATTGGAGAAAAATTATTTTTTTAAATAGATTTTTCTGTACTGATTGCATTTTCTCTGGCTAATAAATAATAATAATTTTGTTAGAAAATTTAAAATCTGAAAATTAACATGTTCGATGATTATTTCATTGACTATACTTTGCAAAGACATAATTATTTTATGCGAAAAAAATAGTGTTGGATCCATATTAAATCGGATACATCAATCGGATAAACATAAAGATAGAATTGTGAAAGCCCTAGTTTTCTATCTGGTAATGGTGCATTTCGTTGTTGAATTAATGATATCAAAGTATGGTAAAGTATAAGATGTATACAAAAACATAAGACTAACATTTTTTTTCTCGCGAGCAATTCAAATTTTGTTCGAATTTAGAAAAAAAATTGTGAGAAATCCTTTTTTCATTCGTCTGAAATTATATGATACCGAAATTATCTATATTCTAAGATATATGCACCTAACAAATATTTTGCAAAATACCCGAATCCCTAAATAGAGCAACCACACGGATGCCTCAATCTAGAAGTAGAGTACACACAAAAACATCGGCTAACAGAGCAGTCAAAAAAAAAAAAAAAAAGAAAACTTCACTCGAAACATGTCAATACTAGTCCGAAACGGCAATTAACCCTTTGAACGATCGATCCAAGCCTCCAGCGTACAAGTCCACTTCGTCCATTGCAAGAGAAGAGCTCATGAAAAATCGTGACGTTGCACTCTCTCTCTCTCTCTCTCTCTCTCTCTACCACCTACACGTACAACCAAGTCAAAAGGAAGAAGAGCTCACGAAGTGGCCACTGGCGTACTTCGGACCACTGACGGTCCACAGATCTTCAGCTCGAGATGGCATATGCACTTAATTATATTGAATTTACCTAATTGGCAGTGTCCCGAGAGGAGGAGATCGGAGTCGGGCTATCGGCGGCCCGCGTCTTTACTCGAAGCCAACCACACGGACGGAGGAGCTCGAGTTGTTCATATATTCGCAAGTTGTGTGGGTATATAGGTATACACGTCTGAGCTCACTCGGTAAAGTATACGAATGGAAATCGGCGGCGGGGGTGGACTCGTTACGCAGCAGCCGCGGAAACTTGCGTTAACTCGTAATTACTAACGACGCGTGTATCGCGGGGTTTCATCGGGATGTACTCGCTTCGGTTCTTCTTCGCGAGAGTTGGCTTTAATTTCGCTGCGAATCGGCTGCCGCTTCAAAAGTTTCGCTCGTGCAATCTTAGGGAATCGTAATTGGGTCAGGCGACGAGGGAAAGGGACGATCGTTTCGCGACGAGGAGAAAATACTTTTGCAATTTGTCGACGGGGCAAGGTGGGTCGTGCTTAAAGGCGGTGTAGATGGTGCGTTGCTTTTTTTTTTTTTTTAATGGAGGGATGGGTGATTTAGATTGGATCGGTGGATTTTACTTGTTGGTGCTGTCTTTGAATTCTGAATAATTATTAATAAAAAAACAATGGCACTAATTTAGTGTTTTTGTAATTTTCGATATTGTTGATAACGTTTTTTAACACAGTAGGCTACCATAAAACAAGGAGAAAATCACTCTTATAAAAGTAAAAAAAAAACCATGCACACTATCAACAAAGTGCCTGTAAACAAAGAAAACGGTATGAATAGGCAACCTTGTTGATAGCTTGAATCAAGCAATAGTTAAGGATCTTAGTAAATTTGTTTGTAGCTCAATTGTAAACGAACTAACGCACCTGCTAGTATTTTCATATGCCATTTACTTACGGTAAAACAAATTAAGGATCTGTAGTTTAGATAAATATTTGTAATGACTTTCACATAAATTATTTAGAGCAGACTGTACAAAAACTTGAGACTAGATAAGATCAAGTCAAAAATTGTACATCAAAATTAGATGATATAACTGTTTTAGCTCACAATACTGATGGTTATGATTACTTGTTCATCCTTGACAAAGCGAAAATTTTTTATTCCATTTAGATTTATATTAATGTAAGAAAAAAAAAATTAACGTGATGAATAAAAGATGTATTCAACAGAGCAACAACACGTTTTATAATTCACTCGTTTTATTTTTATTTACTGGAAACAACATGTCTTACAAATGATAACACGTTGGTTTAAACATTACAGTAACTTAAAACTAAAGGGTGCAATTATAAAAAATACTGTTTAAACATCATAAAAAAGATGTTGTGTTATTTAACGGTGCGAAAAATAAACAACAGCTTCAACAGCCCATACTTTAATATTTTGCAGCTATCCACCATCTGATACTAATTCCAGCATAGATTTTTTATTGTATTTTGATAATATTTTATATAGTGTGAATGCATACGACACGTTTATGCTTATCATCTATAAAAAAAAGGTTAATATACTAATATCCTTTGTTAAAAATAAATTTTACACTTTTGTGCTTACTCTAATGATATTTGACATTGTAATTTTATTTTAGAACGTTGAAAGAACACTTACCGAAATAATCAGTAACTCATTTATTTGAAAAATATTGAAAACTTTAAACTTGAGAACTGATTTTCTGCATCGATATAAAAATATCAGAAGCTTGAAATAAAAATTCCTCTTAATTAATTATATGTTAATAAAATTTTTTATCTTTAAATTCTTACCTGAAATGTTACATTTTGGTATTCCACACTATCATTATACATCAAGCACTTCATCAATGTGACCTTAATTTTATTACTCTGTATAATTTAAGAAGGTATGTAAAATTATATCATTAGAAATTAAAGTTTTTTATGGAGTATTATAATACATATTGTATTACCTGTTTGATTACCGAGTTTGCAGACTTTACCAACAGTAGAAGCGGTATAAAAGAATTAATAATAAAGAGTAATTTTATTTTCAAGCTGTGTATTAAATAAGGATATCTAATCAGAATTACTATCATTTTTCTAACAAAAAAGAAAATAAACGTAAAATTGTGCATGATAGATAAAAATATTCTCAAAGAGAAAAAATTAGATATATCGTTAGATATTTCAATTATTGACGTGTACATTTTTTGCAGTTTAAATATGGTCTGCAACTTTGGTCGTTTATTGGCATAACTCATTCTCGCAACACTACTAGAATTTACAAAAATATTTTTTAAATGATGATTAACTATTCTTAAAAAATCTTTAATTAAAATAGTAAAAAGTAGATATTGTAACATGTTAACATCTATTATCAAGTTATGCATTATGGATTCGATGAGATCAAATATTTCTTTTGCCTTTGGGGCACGTGCAATTAATTTAATGCGATCGTATAGCATTGGAATATACTTGAACATTAGAAAACAAACGTATATCTTATTTTGTGATATCCATTCCTCATTTTTCTTGTATTTTTTTAACTCTCCTACTGATTCTTTTATGGCATTGAATTTTGTAAAAATTGTTATGGCAGCTTTTTGTTTAACAATACCTTCTATCAGAATAAAACTGACTGATGCAACACTAAGTGTTTGATGAATCATGGAGCTAGCAAAAAATACATTTGAAGTAGAATTTCCAGCTATTACTTCGAGTAAATTTTGTAAATGAAAATATTGCGGTACAATGAATATTATCAATAAACAAATGTTGTAAACCATCCCAATGTAAGAAAAACCAAACGACCAACGGTTAAAAGTATTATTTCTAATGGGGGTCTCTTTAAAATTAATAGTCATCATCCCAAGCATTCGACAACAGAAGTAAAACAGTTTCAATGATGAAAACTTGAATTTATTTTTCCTCATTCTTGACAGCAATTTAGAAAACATCACAATTTTTGACTGAAAAAAAAGAGGTAACTTATTCACCGGAAAATAATTTGATACAACACTTACATCGAAAAGTTGTGAAGTTAAAAATATTTACACCGAATAACTTATGTTACGGAAAATAAGAATATTATTCCAGAAAAAATAGACCTGCCGTGCAGTGTTGACTGTTACTGTTGTATATTTTATTTTATAGGTGTTAGTCCGGTTCACTTGAATTCCACGAGGTGACTACCAAAGCATATTAGGAAGTCCCTTTTACATTAACAACTTTTTTAGATTACATCGATTCATTAATTTTTAATATCCTTTAGAGACCACGAAAAAGACACTATTTTTGGTACAATGTACCGTTACCTACGATACATAAAAGATTCCAATTACTTGTTACCCCCCAAAATTTCAGACTTAATTTTTAAACCTCGTTGTACTGGGCTGTATCTTTTTATAGAATTTATAGAGAAACAAAAAAAGTAGGAGTTTTTTCATTATCCTAATTGTTAGTATACTGATGAATTATATTGACTCTCCAGACGGAAAAAATGACGCGTCCGTTCAAATTTAAGAGCATGTTGCCGACCAAAATCGAAAAAAAAAATACATTCAAAATTAGATATTTTAACATTGGGCTAATGAGGTGGTGATTTGATTTTTTAACCAAAAGTTATAGCTTTTTTTGGGGTAAAAGTCGAGCCACATGCTACAAAAACTAGGAGCAAGTTGTTTAAATAATCTCCTTTCTAATGGAGCATTTTCAGGTGTGATAGTCTAATATCACACAAATGGATAGTACAAGGATGATGAGCCACTTTAATGACAGATATTTTTATTAGTAAAAATAATTTTAATTCATCTATAAAACATTTTATGGTAATCTGGACTTGATCCCAGCCAAAGGATTGCTTAAATGTAACAAATTACAAAATATTATTTTTTCTTCCAATAATAATCTAGATAAATTAAAGAAAGCCAGAGTAGGAATGATATCTCACTTTGATATGCTTACGATCCATCTCGATTTGTCAATAAAGTTACTAAATAATCATAAACATTTTGATGCTTGTCAAGACTTGCATTTGTCACTTAAAAAATAAAATGACTATGGAAAATTGTCAGACTTACAGGTATCTGTTACAAATTAGTATGGAATTATCAATGAAGAAGAGAAACTTGCTTAACATAGTTTCAAAGAGGCTCTTCCAGTTATTCTTGAGACATGCAATTTAATAAGCCTGTTAAATCATATAATATTGCGAATACTTATCAAATCTGCAATAATGTTCTAAAATGGTACAATTTGTGTACTTGTCATAGCTGATCAACAACAAGTTTTACGTCACTTTTAGTAATACAATTAACGTTTATTACTGCATGTCCATCACTCCATATTTTATGCAAGTGTTAGTATTAATGCAGTGCTATATATGTATGTTACAGTTTACCAACAACAAAAGATTGTCATAAATATAAATGACCATTCGAAACAAAGTCAAAATTTCGAAATCATTTAATTGATTATGGTTAGTAATTAAAAATCTGGTTTTAATAAGAAATGTTGAAAATCACTTATAACTGTGCATAAGGTCAAACCTTAATCACGTTTAAGTAATTGACACTCAATTTTGCACTAAGCTTTGCTATCGGTTTATTATTTATGTACACGAATAAAAACATTTTTTACGTTTTATATGCGCAAATAATTGTATTAGTTCATTTCTATACTATTTTATCTGTTTTGTGAGATATTTAATTAAGATGGGATATTTAACAAAGTTTTTGGCATAAGCATAACATTTGTTCAGAGTCTAAGAAAATCAAATAGTTTTAATTAGGGATATTTGTATGGTGAGCTTATTCCATTTTAAATTTTTTGTGCAATTGAATGCAATTGATTTATGAAAAATCCCACCAAACAATACAACCGACCTGTTCCAACCAATTAAACATAGAAAAAGTACAAAGGCTTTACAGTCACGTGACAATCAATCTTTCAAGATAGGCTATGTTTTTGAATTTTGTAACGACAAACACTGTTTTTTAATATTAAGACTGAAATTCATCGATTCGTAAAATTTATTCAACCTCTTGCGTGAAGCCACGACATTTTACAAGCTCAACGGGTGTCACGAGCGTTGCCATCCTTGCCCATTGGTATAGGTATCATTTCAAGGACGCCTTGCCCCAGTGGATGAGCACGTGCTTTTTTAAATCACCGTTTCTACCAAACGTATTTCCGCACAAAGAGCATACGTGCGGCTTTCGGCCCGTGTGCGTGCGCATGTGCGACTCGGCATGATCCTTCCTGTTAAAAGTCATCGAGCACGTGGGACAGCTGTACTTCCTTTCATCCGCGTGGATTCGCATGTGAACCGAGAGATTGTAGGTGGTGCAAAATTTTTTTGGGCAAACCGAGCAGCCGTAGGGACGCTCGCCGGTGTGGATCATCATGTGCTTTGCGAGGACCACCTTTTGGCTGAAGGACATTTTGCACACGGAACAGTTGTAGGGATGTTCCTTGGTGTGGGTGCGCATGTGCACCGTCAAATTACTGGATATGGTGAAAGCCCGTGCGCACACGAAGCAAGCGTAGGGACGCTCGTTGGTATGGGTTCGCATGTGTCTTGATAAATTGCTGGAACAGGAAAAGGTTTTTTGGCACTTGGAGCAGCAATGGGAGCTGGTTTTCGTATGGCTCTCCTGGTGCTTGTTGCAATCGTTCAAACTTTTGAAGGTTTTTTTGCAGTATCTGCAACCCCACAAAAACGACTGTGGCTCCATTGTTTCTGCGGTTGCTTTTTCTTCCTATTGTCGTTGGTTGAAGTTGTTCTTCTATTGGCACACAAAGTAATTATTGTTTTCAATTGTTTGGTCGAGAGATTTTATGCTTTATTGAGTTACGTTTATTTCAATTGAGATGGCGTCAGAAAGTGTATTGTTAATTACAGTTTTTTTATTTTTCTAATTCATACTCCACAAGCATTGATTGGTAATAATGTTATGACAATAGCGACAATCTTTGATTAACGTTTAACGTGGATTACTCGAAACGCTCCATTTTTTGATTGTTCAATTTGTTTCTTGCTATTTTGGTTATTTCCATACTTAATTTTACTAGATTCATCGAACGCCTTTTTTGCATTTTTTTTTCTAATAAAAGAATGATGTTAAAATAAATATTTCAAGACAAACAATCGACGTTATCAACAAAAATCCTTATTGGGCTATAATCTTACAAGCAGTAACATGTGTACTTTAACTTAACTTCAAGAATATTTAATTACTGCTTTTAAATATTGTAATAGCTAAAAAATCAGGATTTTATGTACCTGTACTTCTAACTCTATAATAAACTTTTACATAAACTTTTTTTATTTCATCAATCTGTGATTTTTCTTCCAATAATTTTGTTATAATTACCGTAGGTTAACGACATCACAAATAAAATGATTTATTTAATATTATCCTTGTCAATAATATGGGATTTATGCACACTATATTATATTCATAACGATAGCAAAAAGCACTGGCGTGTAGACGTGCAAAGTCTCCAGTGGTTTCAAAAGTAATTATTTTTAATAAATAAGAAAATACTATCTAAAATGATTTGTTCAATTTGCATACGTGACATATTTCAGGTTTACAAGTTTTCTTCGTATCGCTAACTGTACATGTGAGAACAATTTTGTTAGTGACTCAGCTGGACAAAAAATGCTAATGATAACGTTGTCTTTAAAACTTAATTGGAAGAAAGTTATTCAAGTTTACATAAAAAATTAAATAACAAATTGAAAAATTACGGACCCTATATACTTTATGATTACCGTATATGAATTACACTGACTTTATTGACTTTAAGAACTAAACACCTGACAATAATTAGGCACAAGGCTTCGTATGGATTAATGCTGTCACATTTTATTAAAAAAAGAAAAAAAAGTTCTCGGCGTTCGACACTATTCACACAACATGCATTCTTTAAAAAAAGTATTATTTCACTTGGCAGAATTTATTAGACGGTAAAAATAGTCATTTCATTGCTTCAAAATGCGTATCAACACCTAACAATTAAAATATAAGCTTTTGTTGTCAGATTTAAGCGTGTCATTTTGACAAACTTGGATTTCAACAGCACGCGTAGGAATGAAATGGCCTTTGAGAAAAAACACAGTAAAGAATACTTCACGGCTGAGGCCGGAAAACTGTACGCTCGCGAGCGTACGTGACAATGAAAATTTGGGAAGAAACAACAAAACCTCAAAGACGCGACTTCGCCGAAGAGACATTCCACAAGTGGACTAGAATTCTCTCCTTTGAACAGATGAGGTTGGAAGGAGCACAGTGGAGCCAAGCAACAGAAGCCTTGTGTCCCTCGCCTCCGCTATACAAGAAAGACTTAGGGGGGGTGGTATAAATCAGAAACTCGATAGTGGATAAATCGCGTGACGGTTAACGAATACCTGTCCTCCTCTTCCAATGGGCATCTCATACTTATCTCACTTAAGGACTCTTGTTTACGGACAGGCTCTGTACGGGCTTTGTACAAGTGTAAGCGAATGATGGGTGAAGGAGATGGGGAGGAATCATTCGTGTGTATGCAAGCGATAGGGTCTGCGGATTAATATTTTCTGGTGTCTTTTTTCACGGGGGGATCTCGATAAGGACGACGAGACGAAGAAATGCTAGTGTTTATACATGGGAGGCTCGGAGCGTTGTATTTTGCTGGGGGTAATAATTAAAAGGGACATCGGGAGGGATGGACATTGCCGATTGGCTGCTGAGTTTACGATGGTACTTAGATTTTACTGTTATTTCTTCATCGNTTTGGTCGATCATCAATTTGCTCTCTCAATATGTAGTAATACTTTTTCACCTGAAAATACAGGGCGTAGTGATAATGAAATTTAAAGCTTTAATTATTTATCTCACCTGCAATTTTGAAACCTTTTGCAGCCCTACTTCAGCTACTGTAACTACGATGGACAATCCTTGTGAGTTTTTCAACTATACTCTGCAGAGAAAAAGCTTGGACTGCTGCTACACTGTATACGTCGAATGAACTAGTACGAAGATTGGTGATGAGCGTCGGATGGAGTGAGAGAAAAAAAAATATCGAGCACAACGCCTTTGTCCGTAATTTCTAGTACTTATATTTGAAACAATTACGTTTGAATAAAGAGAGCTTACTTGCGTCATAAAGTAAAAATAATTTATGGTTTTTTGGTGGCTCATCAATTTTAACACAACTATCAAAACTTTAAACTTAATAATCAATCATTATTTAGTTCATACCGAGTATAATTACAGACATATCTTATGTTACTTATGTATAAAATTTTCTCATGGATTTTGTTGCAAACTTTAACACAATGTTGGTAATATAAAACTGCAATTTCAAATCAAAATTTTAATTCATTTTACAACATTTCCTATTAGACATTTAATAATAATAAAACCTTTTAGGCCAACGTGTAACCTTATAAAAAAGGATCAAGTAAAATTGCATTACCAGAATTATGGTCGATAGAATTGATCCCACTATTTTTATTCGACCATTTATAATTAAAAAAACGTTATGTTGAATTTTTAGAGAAGATCAAAATTCACCACTATTATAAATTAATAAAAAAGGTCGAGTAATAATAAAAACATTTTTTTTTCATGTATTTGTAGTGCCAGAATGTAGATTTTCAACCATATTCTTTGAATTAAAATTTATTCTGAAGCTTATCGTGCCTGTTATATTTTCACTCATTACATGTCTTCGCTTGGTCACCGTTATTAGAAAATACGAAGGCCTCCGAAAAAGCCAACGTGACGACAGTCTGCCATGTATCATTGTCCGCTATATATTTTACACAAGCTAAGATAAGAGTGAATACTATCACAATTTCACTGACAACGAAAAACATTTCGTCCCGTCATCCTTAAATTTTACCTGTAATTAACGAGTGAAGCATGTCAGTAGTTTAAAACAGTGAAGTACTGCTCTCATTAAAATTGTTTTCTTAACTCCAGATGCATTGTGTCTTTTTTTATCTCTGTGATATCCAAAGAATTTACCACGAACGGTGAAGAATACATTGACGGAAAAAAAACTTTAACTATTCAAAATCAACATAAATCATCCGAGAGTTAATGAGAGGTATTTTGGTAAATTTTTAATACGAACCAAAAATAATACATGTAATATGTATATGTATTTCAGAGTCTCAGATCTATTGGTGTTGATACAACAGTTGAGAATTTTTACATTTTACAAAAAGCAATTTCTAGAATCAATTTAGGTGCAATATACAATTGTCGTTCAATATTAGTGTTGGTATGTGTTTCGAGAAAATTCACTAAAGATTCACGTTCTATTGAAGAAAAATTATATTTCGATTAAACTATGTAGCACAAATTTCCAAATTTTGTATCTATTCAGAATACTTAGATTCTATAAAACGAAATCAACACAGAAATTTTTCTTTTGATTATTTTTTTATCATGTTGTTATACTTTATTTTATTTTATAAGATTTTTGTTTGCAGGGACTAATTTCCTGTGAAATAAGTAAAATAAATAAATAAATAAATTTTAATACCTTACTCTAATAATTATTTTCAAAAAAAAAATGTTTTTGATGTTTGCTATCTAGAGCTCCATTAATATAAATGGCTGTCGTTGTTCCGAAAATGTGATAAAATGAAGAAGCGAAGTATATAGACCTACAGTTGACGATGGTATAATACAAAAGTTTCTCAATTTTAATTTATTTTTTGTTCCACAATTGTACTGCAGACATTGATCCCGTCAAAGTTGCTTCTTACTTTTCTTCTGTTAATTTCAGTGTCATTTTGGCTCAAGGTGGAGGTATGTATATATACATGGTTGTCTCGTTTTTAATGTAATCCCCATATTGCTTATACTTACACTTTGTTACATTTTTGAAATCTACATTTTTTAATCCCAAAAACGATTTAGCAATGAAATACATATATTTTTCACTGAAAAAAAATTTTTAATCATGAAGAAATTTTTTTTTCGTATGGTAAACAAATTATTTAATTGAGGTTTGGCGTAAAGAAACTACTGTTGGATTCATAATTTCTTTATATAAATTCAGTTTTGATGTTTTAAATTATTTCAACACTTTCGTAACCTAGTGCTTGTTAATAATATTATTTTCAAGAGCTATATTATTTATTCGTATCAAAGTCAAACTTCTAAGTTTTATTGCACGTTAAAATTTCTTACATAATTAAAGTATTGTCCTTCCAATAATTTTTAACGCAACTGATCGTTTCTGTAAGGTTAGTTTTATATTAATCTAAAAAATTTTTCAATTCGATTTTTTTTTTATCAAAACCGAAATTTGTTTAACTTTTTCAGGCGACACAGGTCTCGTGCCAGGGAGAGGAAATGCATTAGGAAGTATATTCGAACTTCCCTGTAGACTTATGTATACAATATTGTCGAATGTCGGCAAATTTCTCAGCTCTTTATTCTATGGCCTGAGAAATCTCTTTGGAGGAATATTTTATGAAATTGGAATGTTTTTAGGACAATTGATGAGATTTTTTGTGAGTTCTGGTGGGGTTACTAATTAATGGAAAGGCTTAAGCTCGATCGTAGTAAAACTTAAATTTTTTAGTGGATCTAGTAACAAACATATGTATAACGTTAAATGGTTTTTTTCAATAAAGTTATGGCACTTCTTACTTAAAAAATAATTTATCTAAGCAAATTCTGTCTTCAATTATTTCAAAAATTCCCTATGTATGTTTCTGCTGTCCTTCAGTTATTACGTTTTTTTACCGTATACTGCACTCAAAGAATGAGTGGTGCATCGATACGAAATTCGTTGATTAAATACGTTTTATTTTATTTGTTTTCCATCTGACTGTGTATACTTTAATAAATAAAACAAACACATGGATAAAAAATAAACAAATACCGTTTTTTATTTGTTCGTTTTTAGGCGTTGAATTGAATTGAAAATAGATAATTACAAAATACATTTAACGTTCTAAGGAGGTCCCGGCAAAAAATAAAAAAATGTTGGGTAATACTGAAAAAAANATGCCTCCTCCTCGGGCATCATAGTAAATGGCACAGCCTCCAAAGAAAACGTCAGCCCGTACACCGACTGCTCTTTCACCTGCAATTAAAATAAAATTAATACACAAATGTTATGTATTGTAAATTGTATTGGTATAATATAATACTTGAGACATTTTATTTTATCAACAAATTAATATGTGGTAAGCCAAGCAATCGGGAAGATTCAGCATGGAGGACTGGTTCTTGGATTCCAGAAATTCGTTGAACCTCGTCGCGATCTAAATAATTTGAAAGATTTTTTATTTTTTTCTGGAACATTCTTAAAACGAAAAATTGAAAGTGACACAAGTAAGGATAGAAACTCCTTTTTTTTTATCGATCAATCAAACTACTTGACGAGTACACGTGATTTTTTATTTTTTTTATTTTTTTGTACAGAGCTGCTCAGCTCATCGTGCTATTTCTGTTCGCATTCATTAATAAACTAGCTCCCCGTGTCAGAATTAAATCGCAGAAAATCGTAAAACCAAACGATACTTTTGTATATATATATATGTATATAACCTCCTCGTCAGTGCGTGTATATGTGTATGTGGTCAACAAGGTCGATGATGCATATATACATATATTATGAATATATAGATATGAACGTTACGATGACAGTTCAACACGTCAGTTTGCGCGGTTGCGGACGTTGCGGTGTGTTTCTTATCCTCTGCTTCTTCGTCTGAGCCAGTGAGAGTGTAAAAACAGACACTGAGTTTCAATAACTGCGTCGATGCGATTAAGCTAAAATTTATCAAACCGAAGGAAAGTAAGTGTGACACGTACGACCTATTGTGTTTATGTAAACACAGAAAGGTGCGCGAGAACAAGTAGATATACACTTATCTCGCGTAATAAATCGGCAATCGGTGGTTGAAAAGTAAAAAAGTGTACATGAAAATTTCGGACGAACGCCGGTGCAGCAGTGTGGACGTGCAGCGAACGGAGCAACGATGCGCTCGAGGAAGAGGCTCTTGCTGGCTGTGTTGGTGATTGTTTTCCAAGTGTTGGTCTGTTTGGCCGTTGAACCGTTACCTGCGGCTGGAAAGAGCCATGTGGATGATGCCAAGGTTCCCGAGGCCGATTCGCCGCAAATTGCGCAGCAGCAAAAGGATGTTGTTGCTGCCGATGCATCAGGCACGGTCAACATAACCTCGAAACATGCTGCTGAAGCTTCTGCTCCTGATGCTGCTGCTACTGTCCAGCCTTCTGTGGAGGTGACATATTTTTTATTATCTTTCTTTTCCTTGTGATACTTATATGAGAGACAATGTCTGCTTTGAAAAATATTGCTTATGATGACGCAAAATTATTACCAGCTGTCATTATTTTTGTTTTATATCTTTAAAAAAATTCTTGACTTGTTTTTCTCTTTAAGTTACACAAATAAACAAACTCTAGGGAGCAAATCAAAACTTTTAAATAATAATAATAATTATTATTATTATTATTATTATTATTATTATTATTTTTGTAGCATGCTGCTCCAATGGATACTGCTACCTTGAATGTGGGTGCTATGAAAAGAGCAATCATTGTTACCTGTGGATTCAGTGTGCTTGTCATGATGTACCTTGCGTTTAGAAGTTTGAGGTACGTACATGAGATGAGGGAAGGTGATGTATTTGATGTTACCTTTGTGCATAATTAATTCAAGTTATCATTTGACAGGGTTAATAAAGCGAGACCTCAAATGGTCAGAAAGTATGGAATTCTTGCACATCGACAAGATGTTGAAATGCGACCGTTACCCTTGGATGAAGATGATGAGGATGATACTACTATATTTGATGCAAGTAATATTTCTGCAAAAAGATTGGTGACGTGAGATGTATGAGTATATATTTATTTTTCTACTCCATGAGGACAAAAGATCATACAATCTTAGTGATTATTGAAACAAGTAGAAATTATAAACAAGTAAGAAATTAAAAGACTGAGTTTATAAAACAAAGAAAATAATCGTGTTTTCAAAGCTGTTTCTGAAAGATTTATAAATAAGCTTGGCCTATCAAAGAAATGATATAAACTTGTAAAGTCACGCTTTGTGGAAACACTTTTTGCCTAAGTCACATCTGATGTGGTGTTTTTTCTTACACTAGAGTTTTCTTGTTTATTAACGACGTGTGATATCATACATGTGCAAATGTAAAAAGCAACTGCTTGATTATACAGCCATAAATAAGAATGTTATTAATAACTATTAAGCGAATAATGTATATTTTATGTAACAAAAATATATCTAAAGAATTAATCACTTATAAATACAATGTAAATTATATGTTTTGGATTTATCTCATCGTTATTTAATACAAGCTGTATATTGTAAGTTTTTTTTGTTTGTTTCAAACGCAATGTGCTGCTCGATCCTAGACCTCGATCTGTAATTATATTATCAACTATAAAAAATAATACTCCTCAAGTCTGTCAAGTAATACAACTATAGTTTGTTTCTGATTGTCAATGTGCGTATGTACATCCACTTTGTTGATTTATTTTATAAAAAATGCACAGATGCTTGTCTAAAACACAAATTGTATTATATAATATTCTAAAATGATAAGAAAAAAAAAAAAAAACTAAGACTTCAATTATTTCAAAAATTCCCTATGTATGTTTCTGCTGTCCTTCAGTTATTACGTTTTTTTACCGTATACTGCACTCAAAGAATGAGTGGTGCATCGATACGAAATTCGTTGATTAAATACGTTTTATTTTATTTGTTTTCCATCTGACTGTGTNTTTCAAATAAATGGATTTTTGTAAATGAAAAATACGGTGGTAATTGCTACGAGAAATAATAATGAAACTAAAAGTTTACCGTTAACTTTTAACCCATTTATACTAATGTTAGATAATTTTGCGTGAAAAAAAAGAAAGAATGAAATCACATAGACATGTATAACGAACGTTCTATATGTATCCTTTTTCCACAGCGTGTAAAATGACGTCGGCAAGGCGCCTTCTGTCCTCGGATTTCTCCAAATTCGGCATACTGTCCAAATCCCCAATGTCCGCTACCTCTTCCTTTATCGAATCCAAATCAAACACCTGATTTTCCGACACGAGGCTCAAAGGTATGTTCACCAAAGCGAACATCAATCCGTACAATCCGTACTTTTGTACCTGTGAAAAAAAAAAAAAAAAAAATGTATGTGCTGCAGGAATATTCATGCGCTTTTTTAATGCACCGCGCACGGCGCACATTTCCATTTTATCACTACACTTTTTTTCTTACAGGCACGTGACTTTTCGGTTCTGCGATGGAGCCTCATATTTCATTTATGAACGGCTTCGAAGTCACTTCTTCACTCGATATTCAACAACTCCATTGTCGCTCCCTCGAATTGGAGCGAAGAAAAAAAAAAAAAAATCGCTCTTACTCACCTCGTCCCGAAAAACGTCCTTTGGGTACAATTTATCCGGATCGGCTCCCAACACCTCCATGGTTCTACACAATTCTGTATAATAGTCGTCCAGAAGCACCGCCCAGCAGCCCTCCCTCACCGATTTGTCAGTGCACTGGTAGATGAAGAAAATGACATCGAGCACTGGACTGGCGCACCGCGCAATTTGGAAATCGATGATAAGGACGTCGGGCTGGCCAGACTCAACTCTGCGGACCATGAAATTCGGCGCCCAAGTGTCACCTTGGCTTATCACCGAGGTCTCGGTGTTCGGGCTGGTGCACATCTCCACTGTCTTCTCGAACAAATCGTCAGGCTGACAGGCATTGAAAACGGCCTCTCCTTCGCTTCCCGGATACTCCTTGGTCAGTGCGTCTTTGGCCACTCTGAACAGGTCGTCCTGCGCGCGAAAAACTTTTTCAGTCTCGTGAACGAAACGCCACACTTTTTCGTTTTTCACCCTTACGTAAAACAATTTCAGCGAGGTTTCGTAGACGTCGGTCCGGTAAAAAGTCTCGCTCAACAGCGAGGACAGCCCGTCGAATTCCTCTTTCCTCTCGTCCTTGAAGGCAAAGGATATCCCGTGGAAGCGAGCCATCGCCTCCAAAAACTGCTTGCACTCCCCGTACGAGAGACAGCTCTGGCGGGGTATGGAGTCGTATCCCCTGCAAGTGACGTCCTCCAGTGCTATGAAGTCGTTTTCTCCGTCTAAGTGATAAGCGTAGCATCGCGGTATGCACAGCAAGTGGTCTTGCTCCTTGGCCGACAAGTACGATTTGAACTTTGTTGCGATCTGTAAAATAATGTACGATTGAATTTTTGTTTTATCGTTTACCTGCGCGCGTACCTTGTCGTAAAACGTGATTTCGTTGCCAAAGTACTCGGAACTCCTCAAGAGCTTCCTTCGGAACAAGTTCCTCGGCAAAGACTTGACGATAAGCCTCGTCTCCAGCACTTGGTCCTTCGCTTTGCTCTCGACCCGCACTTTGTTCACCACCGACAAATAATTGTCCCCTTTGCCGCTTATGGTCTCGACGTCCCACGACAAAATTTCGACTACTCCCTGGTCGATCCCCTTGTCCGCAGCCACGATCTTTTTCAACGTTTCTTCGGTAAAATGGTCCCCCGCTTCCTTCAACGCGTCCAAATTCTTACCCATTTTCTTCCTCTGTTCGCGAATCTCACCGTGTTTGAAAATTGTACCACCTTCGGAAGGAATTTGTCCCGGTGCTTGGATTCAGAGCAAAAAAACACAATTGCACGTAAGCGAAAATGTAAAAATAAGCTCAGATAAAGATAAGAGTGCGTATCTGTTTTGATTATCTTATCTGCGACCCGAAAATCTGCCTTATCTGTTGCAGCGTTACTCGGTCATTGTTTGGCAAAGAATTAAAAAAAAAAAATCTGCACCGATCGGCTGCATAGATAGGCAAAAGTCACTTTGGTGCACAAAAACTCACCAGCCTACCTTGAAACGAGCGTGTGTGTGTTCTCGGGGAAAAAAGTCGGTGGAGGAAAGCCCAATGAATATATTGCACGAGTGGCAATATCGTCTTCTCGGATGCAACTGAACGACATTGAAGAGAATGCACGTATACGTGCGTGACTGCAGTGTATGCACATACTGGTGGAAGAGTAGGTGCTTTTGCGCTTTGGTCGCGCGAAAACGGCCTTGGGAAGTGAACGTTGTTTCAGGAGGTTGGCGCCGGGCAATGAGGAAACCAAGGGTTATTGCCAACGCGTCCATCATCAAGTGTATTCTCGGCTCTTGCAGTTTATCGATGATTTTTATCTTGATTCATTTTTTTCATTGTTTTGATGATTTTTGTTTGGTGCTACTGAAGATCCTTTTTCTTCAATACGATCTCCGAGAATGGCTTTGGGTATTTTATGGTAAATTGGCAGGTATACCTTTTATTTAACTGTTGCTTGAGAATAAGGTGGTAAAGTTTCTCGTTTACGTAGAATCTTTCGAGAAGTTTTTTTACCGCTACGTTCAATAATGGATCCATATTTTGTGTGAAAACTATAAGAGTCAAATCAAATAGGAAAAACAGCGTTTTCTCAACTTGTTACTGGCCAACCGCACTATGAGGTTGAAGATGATTACTTGTCCAGTGATTTGTATGAAAATAACACAGAAACTTTGAATACATCATAGAAATAAATACCTTCTGCTTTTTAAAGTAGCACTAACTAAAATATCACGGTATAACATGAATATTACACGCCTCCTGTTTTAGTGGCAAATTTTTTATTTTCTTAAAAAAAAAAAAAATAGAAAAAACAGAGACTTCAATGGCGTACACAAAATGTTTACTAGAAATTTTTTGGCTCCATTGATTTGAAAAAAAATTAAGTACATATGAGCACAAAAATAAAGTGTTTTCTAATGGTCACTATAATTTTTGATACGTGCAACAGAGGGGATCGTATCATTCGGATGATTTTTTTCATTTTCGCTTATGATTAATACGAATTGATTTAGTAAAAAAGAAAAAAAAGGTGGGAAACGAAATGACGAGATTAGTCGGAAGTATAGGATTGAAAGCTGATGAGAAAGCATGTAGGACGTAACTGTTAAGAATACTAGAAATTATGGGGAGTTGGTAAATGAGTTGTGTAAATATCACAGCTAAATCAGAGACCACAGAGTTAAACTGTAGCATTGAATGATGTGATATGCGTGATTAAAATTAATACTGTGATAATGAAAAAAGTAAACTCATTTTTTTTCGTACAAACATTGGTACAAAGAGATTTGTTGTATTAAATTAAGGGGGATTTAATTTCAAGTAAAAGTAATTCGAAAAAGAAAAACGATAAAAGATTTAAGAAAAAATGTACAGGAATGAATACATTATTATCTTGATATATTAAAGATCATCTATTTATTGACATTCACTGAGGAAAAATATGAGCATTGGTGGTTTATAATAAAAATAGTAGAATCAGAAGAAAAAAATTTTTCCACCCAAGTGAACCGCGTACACAATATTTACAGCAGCTCAGAGTAGAGAAGATATTATAAAGTGTCATTACTTTACATAATAATTAGAGCATAAATCCTATAAAATAAAACTACGACAAGAATAGTTTTCTTTTAACAGAGTACCAAAAATAGTATTATAAAGGGTATCCTGTGTAAAATGTCCTAAAATGAAAAAAAAATAACTTCACTACAAGTATCCTCTGTCTGCAGCATGTAAAACAACATCAGCCAATCTCCGTCGATTTTCTGAAGTTTTAATATTTTGTGTGGCCCAGATGTCGGCAATATCAACCTTGTCTTCTTTAATAACATCCAAATCGAACGATTCGTCTTCGGATAACATGCTCATGGTTATAGACTCCATCCCAAACACCAATCCATGTATAAACTGCTCTTTAACCTGCACCAAAAAATCCACAATTTACCAATACTTTATTCACGTATTTTTAAAATTTGTGATAATAATTCATTTGATTCATTGTTGGATGTTAAGTAAAAATATTATACTTTAAACGCAAAAAGTAAAATATGGTTAAGTTTATCTCTCGATGTCAATCTGTCGAGTGAACTTACTTCCCGGATGAAAACACTCCAAGGGTAAATCTTTTGCGTATCCGAGCCAAGAGCCGTCACAGTCTTGGATACCTCGTCGTGGTAAATTTTCAGCAACTCGTCAAAGTGCAGGTCCCGCACTTTCTTGTCTGTGCACGAGTATATGAAAAACGACAGATCCAAAACTGGACTCGTGTGCCTCGCCAACTGGAAGTCAAGCAGCAGCACCTCGACTTGACCCAACTCGGTGGTGCGCATCAAAAAATTCGGGGCCCACGAGTCGCCTTGGTTGACCACCGAAGTTGCTCCGTCGATTCGAGAACAAAAGTCCACGCTTTTCCGGTACAACTCCCCACGAGCGTAAGAGTTGAACCGCTGCTCCCCTCTACTGCCCGGGTACTCCTTGGCTAGTGCATCCCTGGTGACTTCCAACAAACGATCCTAAGAGGATGCAAGGATAGTATTACACATAGAACATTACCAGAAAGAAAGCGTATCTTTACTCACTTACGTGGTAACGCGTGTACCAGCTGTTGTACAAATCGGACCTGAAATACGTCTCTTTCAGCTTTGACGCCGCGCTCGTGTACTCGTCTTTGTACTGGTCCTTGTAGGCGAAGGACACGCCGTGAAAGCGAGCCAAGGCCTTCAAAACGATGACAAACTCTTGGAAGTCCAGACAACTCTGTCGAGCCACTGGACCGAAGCCGTAAGGGCTCACGTCTTCCAAGGCTATGTAGTCGTTTTCGCCGTCAAGTTGGTAAGCCAAGCAATCGGGAAGATTCAGCATGGAGGACTGGTTCTTGGATTCCAGAAATTCGTTGAACCTCGTCGCGATCTGGCCAATTTAACGAAAAATTACATTAAAAAATTAAATGGGATGCTTAACCGTTATTGTTATTGTGTGTGTGGGCCACCTCGGAGTAGAAAATAATCTCGTTGCGGAAGAATTCCGCGCTTCGGAAGGTTTTCCTCCTTCCCGGGTTGTTCGGCAGGGATTTGACGACGAGATTTACTTGTTTCGCTTCGTTTTTCACTAGGCCCTTGACGATGACTCGATCGACGGTTGACAGGTAACTGTCCCCCTTTTTGCTGGCGTTGCCAAAGTCCCACGATGAAATTTCCACCTTGGCAACGTTGGTCTTGTAAAATTTGGCGACGATACTCCTTAATGCTTCTTCGGTGAAGTATTTACTGACACTTTCGAGCAAACTTATGTTTTTTTTCATTTTTTGAAATTTGTTTTCAATTTGCTTGGTCGATTTGACGGTTTGAAGTGGGCGTGGATGGACGGAAAACAGCCGAGAGTAGCCTGGATTACCGATGACAGCTGCAAACTGATTAACTAGACTCTCTCTCGAAAAAACAACTCGTTATATGTGCACGACTCCGATAAGCTCTTCGTGATAACGATCTAATTAGATTCAATACCAAGTCACAGCAGCTCGCACAGTCAAGCACACGTCAATAGGTTTTTTATGTTTTTGTTGTGGCAGCACTGGCTGAGAGCACGTGACGAGGTTCTTCCCCTATCTCTTCCATAGTGATACCGTTGGACTGGTGTGTCACGATTACTATAGACTTCTTGATAAGTAGTTCTGATTAGCTTGAATTGGTAGATTACGGCAATAGCAATGATATCTATACATAACGCGTATTTTCTCTTGTACCATTCATTAGTTTTTTTTTTCCCCCAGTATGATTTTCGTGATATAGTAGTACATCTTTAAAACGGTGTTAAAAACTGTAAATACTATAAAAATGATACGTATCGTAGGAAATCAAAGAATTTTATTGGTCTAACTGATAATCAAATTTTTACGTTTCAGAGATAAAATAGTACTTTTCCTTATTTGTCGCCAACATAACAGCAGAGTATTTGGTATTCGTATATTTCTATTCAATGTTTACAGTTTTACTTGGTGTTTGTTTTTAATTTTTACTAACAGATGATTTAGTAGAGTGATGACACTTTTTTGCCACCTACAAAAAATTATGTAGTTTTGATAGTGACGAATATTATGTGTACTTATTCGATTGAAATTTTTTGTAGAAAATTAACTCTTGCAGCAGTAGTTATGTCTTGGCTCAAGTTAATTTGATAGTTACATCATAAATATGATTTTTTAATATTATCTCTAAGTAGGCCAATTTTTGGGAAAAAAAATTTCAAGACCACACTATTTAACTTAGGCTGTTTAGGGAATTGTATGATTTTTGTACATTAATTAGAAAGTCAAAAATATAATTTGTGACGAAAAAATTTATCAGTAATTTAGTGTATTTTTTTTTTAAACGTACCGCACGATGCACGTAAAGGAAGAAAGTAAACTTTCATGTAATTTCTAGCTTGATTGAAGGTGGCTCCAGCGCCTAGTGCCGTATCAAAATGGGGAGACTAAAAATTAATCATTATTTTCTTTAAAATATGGTATAAAATTATCGTAGAGACTGTTGTAAGCCATATTCTACAATTTATCTGTTACTTTTGTGAGTTAATATAAAAAAAACAAAAAAGTTTTATGGTGCCCTAGTTGATGAACTGTTACGGTACGCTCCTAAGTTCAAGAGTAGTTATACCTATATATATGTACTCTGCAGAATGCAGACAGCTGAGAGCTGACTTGCACTCGCAACTGTATACTTAGTCTCCGTAGTGAATTGGATTAATGTAATTCCGATACATCTGTAACCCGATTGATCAAAAAATCATCAATACTAATTATAATGTGGATTGCCATTTCTTCGCCCAAGTGTATGATTCCATGTACACTATGAGGTCCACAGATGAACCAAGGGTTTTCTCACATATTTTTTGTGTAGAAACCGATTTGATTAGAAACCGTCTCAGAGTTGTACAGTTTGTTTGAAATTCAATTGTTTGAACATGTATAATAATTTGAAGATTATTTTTTTTAAATACACGGAGGTTTACGGGCAAGCTCACACGTATAGTATTATTTCTCTTACTTATTTATAATTTTAACATTGAGGCCACTGGAGCCACCTTAATTATATGAGGTAAGAATTGAAAAAAAATTCAATCATTAGAGTAAACAATATAATATATAATCTCAAACAGACATCTCATATGTATCCATTCTCCACTGCATGCAAAATCATGTCAGCATGTCGTTTTCTATTTTCCGACAATTTAATGTTTGGCAGCGTAAATAATTCGACAAGATCAATTTCTTTTTCTTTTATTTGGTCCAAGTCGAATGCCTCCTCCTCGGGCATCATAGTAAATGGCACAGCCTCCAAAGAAAACGTCAGCCCGTACACCGACTGCTCTTTCACCTGCAATTAAAATAAAATTAATACACAAATGTTATGTATTGTAAATTGTATTGGTATAATATAATACTTGAGACATTTTATTTTATCAACAAATTAATATGCCAACGTGATTCTATGAACTCACGAACTTTTATGTTCTGTTTTTGGCACACCCAGTCGTCAATTTGAATGACTGATTTATTTACTTATTTATTTATATTTTAATATCTTCGATTATTCCACTTATTTTACTTTAACCTAGTTTTTTCCACCACGAATATTTTACGTGAACGGCTCAACAAAAGAATCACGTGCAATTTTTCCGGAAGGATAACTTAGAAAGCAATAAAAAGTATTGTGAAACGAACACATGAGGTATACCTCTTTGCGAAACAAGTCCCACGGATAAACACTTTCCGCATCGGGAATGTCAAGTAACTTCATGGACATGATTAATTCGTCGTAATAATTCTTCAAAAGATCCTCGTAATGCTGGTCGCGCATGGTCTTGTCCGTGCACGAGTAGATGAAGAACACGATGTCCAAGACTGGGCTGCAGCACCTCGCGAGTTGAAAGTCCAATAGGAGAAGCTCGAATTTTCCGGGGTGGGCTTCGCGAGCGAGGAAATTTGGCGCCCAGGCGTCGCCTTGGCCAATGACCGAGGTGGGCTCGTGGGCGCGCGAACAGCACAACTCGGTGCTCTTTTTGAAAAAATCTATCGGCTGGTAAGAATTGAAGACTTTCTCGCCTCGGCTGCCCGGGTATTCTTTCGCCAGTGAGTCTCTCGCTATTCTCACGAGAGTGCTTTCCTGGATGAAATTAAATTGTTGTGAATTTGAAAGGACTTATTTAATTTTATAATTTTAGTAATTTTTTATTTATTTATTTGTTTATTTAAAAAAAAAATTTTTTTTTTTTTAAACACTTGTAAATGTAAACATCAAGAAAAAAGTAATATTTTGTCAATTTAAAAGAAAAAAAGTGTTTTATGGCATTCCTGTTGAAATAAACGTATGACTCAGCGTATAACTATTCATTAATATGAGAGAACTTATAATTTAAAACACAAAATATTTTATAAAAAGTTAAAGACACATCTACCATTAAAGCTCATAATAATTTTGTACTTTTCAAATGTAATCTTATGAATTGTTAAAATAATACGCGTCAACAGTAATTTATCAGCTAATCAATAAAGCTTTTTATTTTGTACTTAAAAATTGAATAATTACTGTTTTAATGCCCGAGATAATCTAAATTTTATATTTTTTGGATACCACGGATGACGTTAAGGAATAAAATTTGAAATTCAAGTTTTCTTAGAAATAAAACAAGATTTTTGTGGTAACCTTTGAAATAAAAAATAAAAATAAAAAATATTTCAAAGAATTTCTAAGTTTCAGAATGAATAAAAAATTCCGATGAATAATCATACGAGTTCGTATAAAAAACTTACGAAAAATCGTTTGTACCATTTCTCGTACAAATCTTCCCTGTAAAATGTCTCCATCAACTTGGAAACCATTTCCTCAAACTCCTCTTTCCTTTCTCTCTTGAATCCAAAAGAAATGGCGTGAAATCTAGCCAATGTTTCAGCTGCCGATTTACACTGTTCGTAAGTTAACGAAGCCTGGCGCACAAGAGGACCAAAACCGTCAACGCTGACGTCTTGGAGGACAATGTAATCATTATCGCCATCGAGAAGAGACGCGTAACAACGCGGGATCAGCATCAATTGGCTTTGCCCCTTGGATTTCAGGTACTCTTCAAATTTCGTTGCCACCTAGGAAAAAATACGATTTACTCAAAAAGGTCCGCCAAAAAAAACACCAATATTTCTATACCTCGTTGTAAAACGTGATTTCGTTGTAAAAAAACTCTTCGCTCCGGAAAGTTTTTTTGCGGCCGATATTCTGTGGAAAAGACTTGACGATGTAACTCATTTCCGTTTCATTGTCATTTACTTTGCTCTTGATTTTAACTCGTTGAACGACTGATAAGTGGCTGTCACCTTTTGCGTTTGCTCTGCCAAAGTCCCAGCCAAGGATTTCAACGACTTTTGGATCGACGTTCTTCTCTTTTGCTACAACACTTCTCAGGGTTTCCTCGGTAAAGTAAACGCTTACTCCCTTTAGCAGGCTCAGGTCCTTATTCATAGTTGCAGGATTTTTTTATCGCCTAAAAAAATTTTCATCAAAAGTTTTTGTAGCGATGGATGAATATCCATTCATCTGCTCAACAGAGTCGTTCAAATGTATAACTTCTTGACACTAAATTAATTTTAACCAATCACAAGTTAAGTAATGAACGCTGTCAAGGAATCTTTCTATATTTAAGGTACCATAATCAATGCTATACATAAGTAGTAAGTGACTTATGATTTTAAATAATTATTAAAAATTGAAATAAATTCATACTCATATTTTCTGTATAAAGTATTGAATGGGACAAAGTGTTTATTACTAAATACGTAAAAATTTTTGTTTAATTAAATGATTCTTGCAGCAATAATGTATGAGAATTATATAAAACTGAAAATACACTATCAGGTAGGTACATATTACTGACACGCCGCCGCGCCGTCATCAGTATCTACATTGTGACGTGTAAGTTAAACAATACTTGACTCTTTTATCATCTTTGACATAGATAATGTTTCTTGCCGTTAATTACGATTAGGTGCAAAATTCTTAATGTTTGAAATCATAAGTAGGCCATATAAAAATTTTTTTGTGAAAATTAAATTTATTTAGATAAATTTTGTAAAAATATTGTAACGTTCATTAATGTATTTGACTCAAACGATTGTAATTCAAATAAATTAAAAATTTACGGTATCAAATATTGTACCTTGTATCGCAAAATTGATATAAAGTCTGTTTTATAAACATATAATAGTTATAAAATAAAATTAATTTACAGACAAGTAAATGTAACAATAAAAATTATTGGAAAATTAGTAAATCTAGAAATTTAACGATAAATTGCTGACAAATTTTAGTTGAAATTACAAATCGTTGATTTAAATAAAATTTTTAAATAGGAAGCGATTAAATTTGCAAATTTTATCCATATAATTATACCTGTCTCGTAAGATTCATAATTAAAAATTAATACATTATATGCCATCTTAAAAAATATTATTCATACTCAACAGTTTTTTTAATAAATATGTGTCAGGAATGATTGTCTTATCCTACAAAACAAAATTTTCTATGATGACACGATTACGTTTAAAGTATGTGTGCATATTTTTTTAATCATTAAAATCCTTTTGTATGATAATATAAATTAAGGTATTACTTACATCGACAAGTCCACCAATACTAAAGATAAAGTGTCTGCTTTCCAAGTATAATACTTGTATGATAGCAGCTTTCAAACGCTACGCCAAATTTTATTTCAACCGAAGCGTCAAAACGATTACGCCTGACTCGCTTGACAGCCCGTATTTTTGTATCTTCTTTACACCGCCGCTTCGTGGAGTTGCTCTAACGACTATACGTGTCTCTTTTAATACACGTGTACATAAATATATGAAGTGTACGAGTTGTGTAAGCGAGTGAATAGATATAAGCTTCAATTGCTTCAAAGCTTGAATCGGCCTCGTACGTATACACAATTTCGGTGCTATTGTTTACCCCATACGTAGAGACGCTACACCGCGTGGGAGTACACTAAGCGTCTCTCTCTCGAGCTCCGTCATCCGTATATCGGTTGTAGACAGCCGACTCCACACTCCACAGCCGTACTCACTGTATTTATGCTGTGTGCATCGCACCAATTACGTATGCACGCTTGTTCGGCCATTTAGTTACGCGGTACGTGGCACTCTCTTGTCTTCTAGACATTTGACAATACAAAAATTTAAGTCGTATTACGTGACAAATGCAATAATCGAAGTAATCAGTCCTAACAACTTGTTCTTAAATACTTAGTTTTTATTAAGCTAAAAAAGGAGATTTTTATATACTATTTTGTTAAAAGAACTTGCTATTGATAAAAAAAAACCAGTAAGTAAATAACATGAATAGTGATACATTCACGATGAACATTCAAGTTGTTAACCAAGTGTATGCGTTGACGCGATAGAGCGGTGTAAATAAGATTTCTCACTATTTATTAAAATATTTCAGCCCTTTTTTCCCTATAAAGGATTTTATCGGTCTCCAAGTTTCTCGTTGGAAGTGCAAAGTACAGTCTTTCGGCTATTTTTTTTAAATTTTTATAAAATTATTCATTGATATTTACCTGAGCCACTTTCAACCCCTTGTACACATTTTTTAACTAACGACCATTGTAGAAGTCCAAGTGTATGATTCCATGTACACTATGAGGTCCACAGATGAACCAAGGGTTTTCTCACATATTTTTTGTGTAGAAACCGATTTGACTAGAAACCGTCTCAGAGTTGTACAACTTGTTTGAAATTCAATTGTTTGAATATGTATAATAATTTGAAGATTATTTTTTTTAAATACACGGAGGTTTACGGGCAAGCTCACACGTATAGTATTATTTCTCTTACTTAGGGAGCCAGGAGCATAACCTCCGCAGGTTTTATCTAGTAATAATACGAAATTGTAATTACGGTTTTTTTTTAACATTTATCTATTTACTTATTTAATAGAGTAAAAAAGATTTAAAAAATGAAGTTTCATCTTTAACCTAAATAATAAAAATATAAGTTAACTTAGACTTGTGGCTTTGCAATGACATTATGTTTGCTGATGTGTCTCTATGATGATAAAAAAATAAAATTGTAATTGAAAATGTTTGATAACAAAAAATTTATTTTTGCATATGTAGCAATTTTAACTCTTATTACAGTGATATAATTTGACATGCGTAGATGTAGCTCTTTGTGTATGAGTAAAAGTTTCTCTTCAAAACCCTAAGGGCATCAAGAAATAAAAAAAATTTCAGATAGGAAACCAAAAAATAGGTAAAAGAAATAGAAACTGCATAACATTATTGTTTTTTTTATTGTATTATTTCTAGCAGATTTTCATTTTTATACAAAACATCTAACAAACCCAAAATGCCATGTCTGAGCTCTCTTGCTTCGATCATTATTATTATTATTTGCTTTTATTTTTTTTCATCGAATCATCACTGTAACAATAAGAAAGCGGATAAATAATCAACTATTATCGATTTTCGATTCACATCTATACATTGAGTCAGGCATTGTGTGATAAAGTGAGAGATTTCAATCTAAAATAGTATCCTCAGTGCTGTCACCACCCTCACCGAGACATTTCTAATATATATATATGAGCATTTGTTTTGCAATTTTTTTTGACAATGAGGAGTACAACGTGACAACCCTTGATGTACATCGCATCATTTCCTTTCACCACGTTATCCCAGCTAATTCAATAGCGAGTCGAGGACGGTGATAAAAATTCATCGGTAGATAAGGAGAGAAAGAGCGAAAGCTAGAGCTCGTGTGTGCGTTTGCGTGGTGGGCTATAAGGCCTTGCTATGTTATCTGCGTCAACGATAAATTTTACAAAAGCTAGGTGCGTCACTACAGTGACTGAGCTTTTTCTTTTCTTTTTTTTTTTTTTTTTTTTTTTTTTTTCTATTATAATCAATATTATTTACAGAAACCATCTCCGGGTACTTTCCCTTGTCCAACTCAAGCTCTTCTTCTCTAGAAAGAAAAATTGTTTGGTCAACTTCAAAACACAGCAAACGCAAGTGATTCAGTGATCAAAATTGTACTTAAATATTTTCACAATTTTTGCTTCTGTATCAACCATCAATTGTTACAAATAATTGGAAAGAACATTAGCCAAACTAGAGATTAAAAAGTTGGACATACTGGAATATTAAAAAAAAATCACCCAAGATCCATGTCCTCGGAAATTCATTGCAAACAACCGACAAAAGCAGTAACATTGGTAAATTTTGTAACAATTTTCTGAAAACGTCACATAATTGCTGTTGTTCTCACCCAGAGACCTTGTTTTTTTTTTTTTTTTTTTTAATTTTTATCAGAGGAAAATCCAGTCAACAGTGATCAACAACTTATACTTTAGCAACAATAACAACTCTGATTCACCACTAGTGTGAAATTCTAGATTTCGATGCTAAAAAACTGGCTAAATGTTTACTTTATCTGCAATCATCGTTTTATATAGTAGCATTTACAAAAACTGTCTCAACAAGTGCATTTGCTTTTATTTTTATTACATTACGAATTGTAAGGGACTGACTCTCTATCCGAGCCTCGGGCTTCCCTGTAACTTTTTTTTTTAGTTTCGCTTCAATTATTGCATTTATTACATTTTATGGTTAAAAAGTTTGGTTTTTTTTTTTTTAACTTTGTATGCATGTAATTGACTTTAATCGAATGATTTTTCTCGACAAAATCATCAAGTGCGTGTTAAAATGTTAATTTTAGTCTTTTAACGATGTATGTAAAAAATTAATTAAAATCAGCCTTACGAAACGATACATCACGAATAAAAATGATATTGACGATGGGTATTGTATGTACAGCTCGTATTGAAAAACCACCGAAGCATGAAGCGAATACAAAGTCAACGGAAAACCGGAGCAATGATTGTTGAATTTTTTTTTTTTACATAAATAAAAAAAGCACGCCAATTTCATCCAGTTTTTCCTTGCTTTGCAACCAAATTAAAATTACAAAAAAGCCTGCTGCCCGGAGAACAAGCCGTGGATTGCTTGATACGTACTGCCTCGTCTCTGTTACACGTTAACGATAAAAAAAAATTTGATATCTCCTCTTTCATCGCAACCAAAAAAAAAAAATTCTTTTTTTTTCCTTCTTCGTTTTGCTTCCATGGACTTTGTCACGCAACTCTCAAATCATTCTGGCTGTTCAGTCGAAAAAGTCTTATAGAAACTGGCATTTGTACTTTCATTGCTTTCTGGACTTTATCGAGGAAACGAGAAAGAAAAAAATTAGTCAAACTCAGGAAACATTACAAGTACAACCATCGCGTAACTTCAAAATAGTGTGGATTTCTATGAGACTTTTTTAAATGAATAAATCTTTTTCTTCAATTTTCACGTATCACAAGCACATTATTTCTAAATAACGCTCATCACCATGATACTCTCGCGGACGTTTATCATTTGCCTTTTTATCCGGTATCCCCGAACGAATCAATGATAGAACGAGAAAACAGCAGCATCAGCAATGACTAGTGATTCATTCGGCGCATCTCCATAGCCGCGATGTCGTCCACGGATATGAGCTTCTCTATGGGGATGCAGGAGAGCTCACCACCCACGCAAGACTGGGGCTGCTGCCATCGGGCCTCCCTCTCGGCCTCTTTCGCTTTCACCTCTGCCTCGCGTGCCCTTCGTTCCTGAGCGAGTAAAATGAAATTATTTGTTACCCACGAGGAAACACATGGTGACCAGAGCTGCCCAAAACTAAGGGGGTGCACACAACAGTGTCAAAGGGACCGTTGCTTTATTCTGGGTCCTTCGGCTAAAGTTAAGGAGTACTCAACGGAATTTTGGACTATGTGACATTGCTTCCTCAAAAAGATATTTCATTGCTTCAAGCACTTTTGAAGTTGTCAAATTACTAAAAAAGCGTTTGAAGACACGAAAAGATCTTCAAGTCTCTGTAAGGTCAATAAGATGTGAAAGTCTCTAAAAGACTGGGAAAGTTGTTTGGAAGCCTTTGAAGGACTTTAAGTCAACTAGAAATATTTAAGACGTGTAATAACTTTAATCTTTAAAAACCGTAAGAACTCAAATANTCAACATTTCAACGCATGTACATTTTTTTTACTGAAATATTTTTATGTCAAACTATTGTGATTAATTATTGATTTCTTCGAACGGTTATAAATATACCAGGAAAAATCAATCATACAATAAAACTTGATAGCAGTTAATATCAATAAATTCTTATATGTGCTTTTATCATGAAAGATCAATTCTTTTAATAGATTACGACATACATGTTCATATTTGGAATTGTAACTATTCATTTGAAAAAATCTGGGTATTTCATCTAGCAAAATAAACAAGCAATCCATATACAATCCAAGTCGGATCACCCTGAGATTTATCAAGGATTCTGTATATAAAATCAAAATGTAATGCTCAGCGATTTAATGTGAATTGATGGCTTAGTCTTATCCTTTATCATTAAATAGTAATTTTTTTATAGCTAAATACTTGAAACTGTGATTATTATGAACAATATCACAACTCTAAAACAAAAGGATTCGGATACTCCATCCAAGGTTTTCAAATTGTTGAAAAAATTTTAAAACAATCTTAATGATGATACTTTTACTTACTATACTTAAATTTTCAGGTTTTTTTTGTCATCGTGTGGATAACAAGACATAATATAATGCCTATTTACGAGACCCCAGCTGTTATTAATAATAGTCATTGAATGGCGTTCTCAAGCAGATTAGTCATGGATCTACGCATAATGTCTTTGGATTATAGTTGGATTTTGTATTCGGAAGTATCAATAAATGTAAGTGACAAAATGAGAGTAATTTTAGGATAAAATTCATGGTAAACCATAGAAGAATCTGTTGGAAAACAGTATGGATTACATAGTTATTTTGTATAAAAACTACATTGATATAATATTCATATTTACAGTAGAAACCTGTCATGATGAAAATAACGACGGTACATCATATCTCAGTGGTATAAGCTTCGAAAACGAGATCCTCAAGCCTCCATCACGTACGAGCAAATCGAAAATCTCGAGCAATCCTTCACGATTCTACGGCTTGTGCCACGGGATATGGAATAATACAGTATAAAAAAGGAGCAAACGTGATTTGGGCAGATGATGCTCGGTCAATCTTCGGAGGGATGGATACGATGTAGAAAAACGGAGAGGCTCAAGGAAAATATTGGACCTGCACTTTTTCATCCTACGATTCAAGTTTTTGTTTTGGGACGAGACTCGGCTTGGTTAATATTTTTCTATCCTTGATACTTTGGACAATCAAATTTATTAATTTTTTCGGCAGAAGCAAGTAAATTCGTACAATTGATCCTTCGCATGATACAAATAACGAGTTTTAATCGAAGCTAAAATAGTGTCGTCATCGCGTGAAGTGATGAGGTGTAACGCGTTATAATGTGACGACACATCGTTCAACACTCATATGCCGATCGTGACAAAGATATAAACATCGTTTGACCTAAAAAAATATGAAGACCTTCATCACTGCGTCAATCATGAAAATTAAATATTTTTTCAATAAATAGATATTGAGACGCTCGAAAAAAGAACTTGATTATACGCAGATCCAATTATCATTTGAAAATGAAGGTAAGACATGACTAGCCTTGTATATCATCCGATCACTCGAGCTCCCATTACTGGTGCCAACTTTTAAGTACCGTCCATTAATTTATATCAAAACGTAGCTTGAATTGCCAATTTTTCCATGGAGAAAATACAGCAGATTTTGAAATCAAGATGAACAAGTAGTTTTTTTTTAAATAACAAAATGATCAGTCACAGCTCACTTGTATTTTTATTCTGTAAATAATCTCATTACACCCGCAATTTAGAGAGTAGCAACCACGATGCGACATCGTCAAGAAAATTCCAAAAACCTTTGATTACAGCCACGGCGTCACAATGTCAGTTATTGGAACTTACCGAAGAAGATCGTTTTCGGAGGATGCGACAAAGTCCTTGGAGACGATGCAGTCGGTCGACCTGTGCAGGGCCATCTCGTCCCCACTGTTGCTCCCACCACCGACCCCACTGATCTCAGAGTCGCTGGATTTTCTGCCTCCGGTTTCGAGGCCGAGGCGCCTCACCCAGTCGATGCCGCCGTGAGGACCGATCGTCAAGTGGTGGCTGTAGTCCCCGCTGCCCGACGATTCTTGCTCGCTCGTTATCCAGTCCCTCGATTTACGGGCTGGTGACGAATAAGAGTGCGTTTTCACTTTATCAAATGTACATTGTGGGATGTAATTGCATTTTGTTTGCTTCATTCAATTCTCCTATCATAAAATGACAAAATAATTCATACTTTTTCAAAGTTTACTACCGCAACCTTTTGACCTTATGTAGTTAATAAACCGGCACTCAATCTAAACAAGTAAAGTGGTTATGTAAAAATACAAGGATTGATTATTCACTCTAAAATATAAGTTAACGTTACTTAAAAATGAAATGTTTTGGTCGTCCACGTGTCACTTGAAGTAAAGTGGAATTCCGTAGGGAAACCCAACTTTTTCAATTGTGTGGATTTATATATCGTCGTGAATAAATAAGCCGAATGAATGTGTTTGGTATTCATTGATAGGCAGGACAGAAACATAATTGATCATCTTTCGTTTACCGTGAGAAAAATTTTTTTTTTTTTAATTAGCACCGTAAACTGATGTCGTTTTGTCATTTAGATACTTTTTTAATTGCTATTATGATCATTTTTCGCTTCGGTAATGTTTTGCGATGCGCGGGGTAATTATGAACATCCGAATGAGCTTTCCTCCCCCTCTTTTTGAGATCGAAATAAATAGTTTTTAAGTACAAACACACACTATCCTCCTTGGCTTACCGTAAACAGTGGCCTCGGCTCGACGAGCAAGTCGTCCCTCTGGTCGAGCGTGCCCCACCTGTAGGCCAGCTCGGCGCCCCGACGCTTCCACGTCTCCAGATACACCGTCGCCCATATCACGTTGAAGATGGAGAATAGCACGTAAGCCACGTCCTCCACCGCCTGGTTCCTACCGATGATGCCGACCTGTGTGTTTTTTCAACCAGAAACACAAACATTTTTTTCGATTTAAATGTCGATCTTGTGTTTTTTTTTATGTGGGAAGGTTGCACGTTGAGGGTGGATTATTGATATTTTTTTTTTCCTTCAAGCAGCTGTTGCAAGAAAGTCGCTGTGTGTATACCTGACGAGGGTATTTTCGGTGGTTACGAGTTTGCGAGTTGGGTTGTTGCGTAATTCTTTGAAATAAAAATCAGGCGATGTTTTGATCAACTTTTGTACCTTTTCTTTTTCATGCGCATACGTATATATACGCATTGGAACCATAATGTGGATTTTGCGTGTGTCTTGTTTCGTTGGTTTCGATCGGTAACGTAAAATCTATGGGCTATATACCGTGGAGGGAGACCATTAGCACAACAATTAAGAACAAAAAGTGTATACCAGTGGAACTATGTGTTCTTTTGAACAATATGTACTTGGAAAATGTAGGTAAAACATTAAGGGGAAAATGATATTGGTTTTTTTATGAGAATTGTAATACAGTACTAGAATTAATACAAATTGAAAGAGGTGCCATGTTTTTGAGGGATCGTAGCTTTTTTTTAAAATGAAAAAAGTACATCTTCAGGGTTTCAAAAGATTTGATTTTAAAACAAAACAGTCAATTGCAATTTAAATTTAATTTTGACTTCAACATCATTTTGATCAACAAATTAGTATAATTTTAAAACTATATTCAACCCTTGATTTGAAGTTGTAGATAGCTAAAATCGAATTGCATCATAGCTTAATTGAATATTCAATTGATATTTGAATAAAGTAGGGTGTTATATTATACTTAATGCTGATATACCTTTACCGATAGTTTTAGCGATATTAGGTATTTAATGAAACAAATTTCTGTTTGATTGTGAAAATACTATTCAATTATTTATAACCACTTGTATCAGCCATGAGCGGAATAAAAAATTACCGAGTAATTTTTAATTTACTAATAAAAACTTCTAGTTAATTAAAAACGTTTTTTTTTTTTTCAATTTATCAGCTGGATTTCAATTCCAGTCGGTGATGAAAAACTAATTTTTTACGTCCTAACCGAAAGTACAGTCCACGCCTATGTAGTGTAAAAAATATACTGTATGCATAATAAACTAAAAGTAATATCATGTGACTTGGTTATGTCAACAAACGCCCGCAAAACGCCATCACCCGCAAATTTAAGTAGAAAAAGTAGAAAGTCAAGTAGAAACAGACGAGTGTAGTCAGACGGTCTTACTTTTACCTTTCAAGTATTTAACCAAAAAAAAGAAATTCAGCTTCATAAATTTATGTACTGCATTTCATTGTCATCTAGAATAAAAGTTTCACTCATCCAACAATCAACAGATACAAAATTTAAATAAAAACGTATGAAAAATAATACACGTGACTGCACCGCTAAGCATTTATAATCTCAAATCGATCGTCAAGGTCTAACACGAAAATTTCGTAATAATCTTCTTTCAGGTCCAAAAGAATAAAAAGTCACCCATTTTTCCTTTCCGGGCGTCTATATACGTATTAAACATCGCTCAAAAATCTCCAACGCAAAGGCCGAAGTTGAACTATCGCGTAACAACCGCCCATACCGACTCAAAACACCGAAAGCCGTGAATCATCCGCTCAACCCGACAGACAGCATCTCTTTGTATACGATTATCTACTCGGCACTCACCCAGTATATGACACCCACTGCAGCCGGAACAATGAGGGCGGTGGTGTAGTGGCCCAGCCACGCAAAGTACATCGTGATCTTGACACCGAAGTACCTGGGCGAGTACAACAAACATATTTGTATGAATTTGTTCAGCGCATAGTGAAGTTAAGTATACTGTTTTTCCACATTTGCACAGTGTCCATCAGACTTTGCAAAAAACGCACCTGGCTATGTCGTCGAGGGGTTGTGGACTCAAGAAGGCTCGTACCCACGACTGCTGCAGTTTTTCCAGGGCAGGCAGCTCGTGGAGAGGGAAGACCTGTCAAACATTCGTAGCAACGTTTTTTTTTCTCTCTTCTAATTTTTCATACGCACGGTTTAAATGGAAATTCATTCGCAGGATTATTTTCAAATTGGTTTCAAGTGTACGCGACTCGTCAAATGAAGTTATTATCCGGCCTCGGAGCGGATCGAGTCGTCCCTTGATTAATGGGTGAATTTCATTATCCACCTTTTCATCGCTCAAAGCACTCTTGGGGACTCTTTTTCCTTTCTTTGTTTTCACACGACGCTTTGATTGAATCATCTAGAAAGCTTGTTTTTCATGCGATAATAATTTTTGCTTGAGGAATCGTAAGAGCTATTTTTTCTTTTATCAATATAATTTTTTCATTAACTACAACTGGTGGCGTCAAGGGTATTGTTAATATTTATATTTACCATTACCTTGAAGTTTTAAATTTATGGTTTTTATTGAATTACATGGCTGGTTGCATAATTATTGAAGATGCAAAATAAATAAATAAGATCCTTTCGCGCAAATTGTAGTTCGTCTTATGTGCACGTAAATGGTCTTTTTCTCTCGCTACTCGAGAAAACTTTGCTTTTGTCGGGAATCCCTCTGCTTCATCACACTTTCTCTGGTGCTCAAATCTTTTTTGATCTCATTAGAAAAGACTCTCAAGGGATTATAATTTCTCGAGATTTTTTCACTGAAGTACTGTTTGAGCGAGAATTTTAAGATCTCATCCTTCAGGGATTGCCGAAAGAATTCAAAACTATTCATCCATCGTAATTTGAAATCGTCCTTCGAGCTTTTTAAAATTACAGAAACTTTTTTCGTACTTTACTAATTTTGGCATCCAATGTATAAACAAATATTTGGAAAAAAAATGCGAATCCACATCTCAACCTACGTGCACAGCACACAAGACGATATCGACCAAAAAAACTCTGAGAATATGTTAAGAAGAAAAAAAAAAAAAAAAAAAAAACTGAAACTATAATAAAAATGAATTATTCATCTGCAAGTGCATGCATGTCTTACGCTTATAGTACCTACGTATCACTCGGAAAGCACACGACTGTGATTCATGCATATTTTAATCTTGATTTATAGCACGTGGTGCAAGTATCATGTATTCCAGTACTATTTCACTTTTACGTTATAATCAAGTCGTAAAACGGCAAGGGACCTTCTAGTAAAATTCACTTGATCGCGTTTCCAAGTAATAATCGCGTTTTTTTTTTTTAGAGATATGTAGGACTCTATTATTGAACTTATGTTATTAAAGTTCTCACGACCACGTCCGACATTGATTTCATCGAAGGGATTTGTCAAAACGCGCAAGGCTAATAAAAGTTTGAATGGAAGCTCAGACACATCGACAGCTCTATCGTGAGCCTTTTAGTTTTTATTACTCGATTTTTTAATTTTAGTCTCAACCACAACCAACATATGACTTTTTCTTGACACACTGAAATGTTTCGCGCGTAATTTATACTTTTTTTCATTTTGAGGAACAAACGCACCCGCATCAATAACATATTTCTCAACTCTCATTTACTTCTGAATTATGTGGCCATTGTTATCCCTATAGTCCGATAATTAATTAAAAACACGAAATGCCAAAAATCCAATAAAAACCAACACAAGCCCAACCCATGGATTATGAAATGAATCCACATCGGCGGCAGTTACCTGTGAAATAACACCCGCGGACAGGCATTTGGGAACGATCGCTTGGCCATCGACGAGTTTGAGTCGTCCGGCCAGACTGTGCAGGTCGTGCGGGCCGGCTCTCAGCGTGTGCAGCAGGTGGAGCACCAGGGACTGGCGCTCCTGGGTCGTGAAGAAGCGGCTCTCGTCGTCGCTGCCCTCGAAGCAAGTAGCCTCCGAGCCGACGAACTCCTTGAGACCACCCCCGTACTCCTGGCGCAGGCGTTTCGGCAGGTGCACCTCTTCGGCGGCTTTGAGGAGCCTGCGAGGACCCCGAAAAAAACGGTAGTTGTAATGTCATGTGGAAATCTTGGAAGAACCCACTGGACAAAGAGCTTCTCAATGCGTTGTAAGATGGAAAAAAAAAAAATCATCCCAAAGTTCCCCGGAAGCTGTACGTCCCAAAACAGATAAAAATATACCAACACGGCGAACGGTGCGGTCAGATAGAAACCGTAACTATCCGACGAGGCGTGATGCCGCACGTGAACCACGAGTCCTGGCGTCCCGGCGCGAAGGCGTCCCAGAAGCCACATTAATGTCTTGTCGTTGCTTCCGCTTGGAAACATCATGACAACGTCGCACTCCTGCAACACAATAAGGAACATTTGTTAAGGAAAAAAAGGAAGGAAAAAAAACGAGCTTTATTAGAAATTGTTCGACCGGCATTGGCGAAGAAGGGATACAAAGTACTCTGGGGACTGCAGCTGAGACCGGCTGGCGAGTGTTGTATTAATTTTCTAGCCACAAGCGCGAACGCTCCTTGATGTATGAGGCTAACGTTCGGTCCAACCAAGTTGGCTTACGCGAGTTTCCCTTGCGTGAATGTATTTTGCAGCGTCGCACAACTTTCACCCCATAGGGGAAGTTTGAAGGATATTTACGGGACTTTGGAGTTACGGGATACTTTGCTTGATTGTTTTTCGTTGCGTTTTCTCTTTCACTGCAGGGGATGCTTGTCATCCTGACTCGGTAATATTGACAAAGGCGTGTGTAGTATACTTTAACATATACAATTAATTTAGAAACAATGACTTTAACAGGATTGGAAACTCGAAATGCAAATACCATACGTTCGAAAATATGTAAATTTTGTTAAATAACCGAGTGACTAAATTCATGCAAAACACTTCGTGTGTGAGGCACGACCAGTATACGAGGTGCCAGAGCATAAAGTTTTATTTCAACAGCAAGATTCAATTTTATTCTGTTGTTACATCCAGCTGACTTTTGATATAAGTATGCTAAAACTTTGAATTTGTACTAACAAACTTAAGTGTTACAAAATCGAACAAAAAAATGTTACAAAGTCAATACAATGAAGTGGTTTTTTTGGTAAATCTATAATTTTCGTATTAAAAATTTTATCTTGAAATGCGACGAACAAAAATTAGATGGTTTAAAACGATTTTTTGGCTATTTTGAAGCGATTTTTGTCTTTTAAAGCCCGTTAAGAAGGCATTTCAGAGAAAAACCGACTGTACGAAAAAGTTTCATTTTAATGAGCTTTACAATTGTTATATTTAACACTTTGTTGTAGAATTGGAATTAAATTTTGTAACAGGAAATAAACGATTTTTCGCTATTTTTGCGTGTACTTTACTTTATAGAGCGTCGGCATTGCAATCTAGAGCAAAGTGTATGATACAAAAAAATTGTATTTTAACGAAATCTACAACTCTACCTTTGAACGTAAACGTGTAAAATGTATGAAAAAAATTACTTCCATACTTCCATACATTAATTTTGTTGCTGACTCAGATCACCCTCATACTAAGTTTAAAATTTGTTTTATATTGAAAATAGACGATTTAAAAGAGGTTCTAAGGCAATGATTTCTAAAGCAATTTATACATTTATCGTAAATATACATACACATAGGTAACAACTTGTTTCGTCATTAATATGTTAAAACGAGATTTCGAATTTTTTGGTGAATTTTTTTAAAAATTTTTCTGTCACATTACATGGACAAATATAAATTCAATTTCAACTATATTACACTCATTGATTTGTCTATTGTAAAAGTGAATTTAATGATTTTTTCATTTTAAATAGAAAAGTTTTCCACTTATTTTTAATAGATAAAATTCTATCCTATTATCATTTCAGTGTCTTTTTATTGCATATGCTAATTTGGTTTCAATAAATTTTAAAAAAATTATTAAAACTATCAGTAATGATATCTTTTGACATTTCGTTACTGGATCCATTTAACGACTAACCCAATGTTTTAATATCGAAGATTTTTCTACTTTAACAATAATAAGAAAAAAAAAAAACGTTACTTTCAAACAGTAAGTCGATACTAAAGTAGTAAGTTAAATTTTTTCAAAACCTATACTTCGTATACCCATTCTTGTTTTCTAATTTGAGGCATGAACAACACCTATTATCATATCATTAGAGTCACTATACTAATCAACAAAACTGTGACACTGTTTTGAAATGCTCTGAAATGTGTATGCAGTTAAAACTCCATGATTTCGTACATTAGAACTCTAGCGACTATCAAACTGTATGTATTAAAGTTGTTTATCGTAAAATAATTTCGAGAATATGTTAAGCTTGTTTGGTGATACTGTATAAAATATATAACTATATAAAAATATAAAATAACGGTCTTAACTTTTTTGCTAATACATACATACAATGATTCGACTCTTCAAGTGATAGAAGAACATTTTGGTTTAAGTTTTTGAATTTTGTTTCTATAGATACAACGTGTATTACATATCAAAGAGTCTGAGACCCATTTAATTTTACAAAAATACAACAGAGTGATACTAGTCAGAGCTTGTACACCACAAAAACTATTTTGTACATCATAAATTGGAAAACAAACGGGTAAGTTTTACTATTATACTAAAAAATTGTATTTTTAATGAAAAAAATTTTTAATTAACTATCTATACACAGAGTATTTGAGTCAATCGTCTATTTCTTCGTAGTTACTTAATTCTAACCTCACTTTCGACATTCTTAAGCACGTGTCTATCATATGAATAGGCTGGTTAAAAGTTGGTGTAACGGTTAATATAAATTTATGAATTTCACAGCTTATAATAATTTGTTCCAATATGTTTACATGGACCTTGGTTTTTTATCGAAATCTGTATCACAGTTCTCACAATGTACATATAACAATGCTTTTAGATAATTAAGAAAAATAAAAAAATCAACTAAGTTTCCTTGTACTAATGAGCAGCATGGTATCAAATTTTATAAAAAACCTATTATAAAATGTTGCCCAATGTATAATATGGTTATACCAGATAAGGAGCATTTCAGTTTATGTTGCAGAAAAAAAATAATCCTCCTACATTTGAGAAATTTTAATTTACTGTATCGTGTCTACTTCTCTTAGAAAATTAATTTAATGTTCAAACAAAATAAATTTACTAACCTGTAAAAAAACCTATTTCTAAAAAAATACAACTCTTCAGCAAATAACAAAAAAACATGATATTCATCGAACCGTTCTGATTATTCATTACAGAAAAGGCATTTCCACATTATAAAATCATCAGTATAGCATCAATCAAAAATCTACTCTCAAGCAGCCAACTGTGCATCAGCTTCTGCAGAATATTGTTCATGAATATGGCCAGCATTTGCGCTTCTCACGTTTGCGAAGTTTCTGAAAAAGCTTGCGAATGTAACTCTGAACTCAAGGTACACCAAAGGATTCACATGAGTGACAGGCTCTTTACTTGCAAAATGTGTTTCAAAACCTTTACCCAAAGGAGTAATCTTATAAGGCATAAAAAAATCCACACTAAGCCTAAGCCCTTTGGCTGTAAATTATGTTTCAAAACCTTTTCCCGCAAGGAAAATCTTACAGTGCATGAGAGGATCCATTCAGGCGACAAGCCCTTTACTTGCAAAACGTGGACTCTTTTTCCTTTCTTTGTTTTCACACGACGCTTTGATTGAATCATCTAGAAAGCTTGTTTTTCATGCGATAATAATTTTTGCTTGAGGAATCGTAAGAGCTATTTTTTCTTTTATCAATATAATTTTTTCATTAACTACAACTGGTGGCGTCAAGGGTATTGTTAATATTTATATTTACCATTACCTTGAAGTTTTAAATTTATGGTTTTTATTGAATTACATGGCTGGTTGCATAATTATTGAAGATGCAAAATAAATAAATAAGATCCTTTCGCGCAAATTGTAGTTCGTCTTATGTGCACGTAAATGGTCTTTTTCTCTCGCTACTCGAGAAAACTTTGCTTTTGTCGGGAATCCCTCTGCTTCATCACACTTTCTCTGGTGCTCAAATCTTTTTTGATCTCATTAGAAAAGACTCTCAAGGGATTATAATTTCTCGAGATTTTTTCACTGAAGTACTGTTTGAGCGAGAATTTTAAGATCTCATCCTTCAGGGATTGCCGAAAGAATTCAAAACTATTCATCCATCGTAATTTGAAATCGTCCTTCGAGCTTTTTAAAATTACAGAAACTTTTTTCGTACTTTACTAATTTTGGCATCCAATGTATAAACAAATATTTGGAAAAAAAATGCGAATCCACATCTCAACCTACGTGCACAGCACACAAGACGATATCGACCAAAAAAACTCTGAGAATATGTTAAGAAGAAAAAAAAAAAAAAAAAAAAAAAAAAAAAAAAAAAAAAAAAAAAAAAAAAAAAAAA